GGTCTCTTATAGTTTCCGGTTTACTGTTTATATCAAAATTTTATAAAACTGAACTTTAGCATATTAATCCAACTATACATTGTTATATACGCCATTGGCGTTGAATCTTCAAATTTAAATGTACTACTTGGAAATATTTTACAAGTTTGTGCTATAAATATACTAAAGTGTCATAAATATAAGGACAATATATATACTTCAGGCTCAATTAAAAGTTCAGTTCTTCTGATGTCTATTCATTATATCTTGTCTCGTCGAAATGAACATTCACATTTAACTATTTCCTTGTTGTTATAATACATCAACATGGCTTTGACTACGAAGTTAAATAAAAATTGATCTAAAAATGTAAAATCAGCACCATCTGTTACATAAGAAGCATACTCAAACTGACGATCACTTACACTTAATTCAAGTCCATTTAGGATATATAACTTGGTTAGGGTTATAGATTGAATACATAACACTTACTAGATTTCCTTATCCCGTTATTACGTGAACTATTCAAAATTATAGTGTAATTGGGGTCCATTTTTTACTAAAACATAGGCAACATTGCCTTAGTCTGTTTTATTTTTTCGTTCCTGGCTTCTCAGGACTGAAAATTTCGAAAAGAAAATAAATGCTTGCCTTCTCGCTCATTAATATAATGAATAAAAAAATGTTTGCTCGCTCGCCCAAAATATTTCTTTAAAAAAACGAAGAACAAAAAATCAAGTTTGTGTGGCTTTATTTACATTTACCTGATTGCAAATCATCTGAGCTAACAATGATGTTAATTGAGAATTATCATTTCCAATATATCTTTGTAATATATTATGATATCTATTGTAACATTATCAATATTATTTCCTCTTTTTAACAAACCAAGGGACATAATTCAATAACTATCAAACAACATTATAAATTTGTAGTCTCCCTCAAATTGAATTTACACAACAAATGGCTGGTCTCTATCTTCGTGTTAGGAGCTTTATTCTGTATACTGACATTTCGGTTCGATAGTACAGTCGACACTGTAAGGGTCAGATCGGGACTCTCGAACATTACTAGTGTAAGAAATTACAAAGCAATGATAAAAGCACAAACGGGCGTGTAAGAAAAACGTCCAGTCTTCTATAAGCTAGATTTATATAGTTTCTGCACAGAAACAAATCCAGAGTGCCGACTGTTATTATGGAACAAGTCCTTGACATGTACAACTCAACGCTGAAATGATGTACGACTTCATGTACTTTAATTTTCGTCGGGCTTGTTTAATTTGTCTCTTCTTCATTTACTAATTGAACAACATAAAGGTTAAACAATTGGTTAGGTTCAGTGTTGAATAAAGTCTTTTAAAAATTAATCGAGATATAATTATTTTTATAAAAATGTGACCAGGGAAAGAATTGTAAAACAACTTATGGAATCCGTGGGAAAGTATTATGTGGAAAACCCATGTTACTATAATAAGACCCTTATCACAGCCATTTCCAAATTTTCATGATAACCTACTTTTTACTCTTCAAACAGAAAGAAGAATGTCGGATACTTAACCAGCAAAAAGTAAGTTTAAGATTATTTTATTTTAAGGTGACGGCAATATTTCAAAATAAGATAATTATAGTTGTTTTACACATATGAAGACCAAAAAGCGATCACATATTTATAACAGCTGATAACATTGTTGATAGAAGCACATGGGGCATATATACAAAAATTTACAAAAATCTAGAAAACAATTTTATTGATTAAGCAGCAAGTAAATGAAAAAATAAATTGTACACAAAAATGTGTTAAATAAATGGCAAGTTTTCTCTATATTAAATTCATAAATGATGGATGGTTATAGCAAGACGGAGATGGACAATCCACTTAAAATAACGTTATATAGCTTGATTAGAATAGAAAGAAGTAAAACATTATAGTTTCCCCTTTCTACTTAATACGTGAATTTTTCAAAATTTGTAAAGTAATGGAGCCCATATTTGTCTAAAACATAGCGAAAATATACTCAATCTGTTTATATTTAAAGAATATCGCTAACTCATCCAATTTTTTCCTTAAACCTGCATTAAATAAACATGTAAAAATATTTTGCCTTCGGTCTAAAAACAAAGCTGTCTACAGTTTTATTTATCTTTTTTTACAGTATTGTTGGTAATCTCATCAAATATTGTTTACATATTACGATTTTAAACTGAAAACCCCATGGTAACACTAAAGTTCGTATACAATTTTTAACATGCAAATTAAGACTGTAATCAGCTCGTGTATGCGCTACGTCACAGTGTAATTGTTGCTATCCGGAACACAGCAAATATCAAATTTTCTTGTGTGCAAACACGCTTTAACCGTTTTTGCTCACGTTGCATTAGGCCTAGCGTTCATGTGATGACTGACACTTAGTACACACCCATGAGATGGAGCTATTTAGATATTTGTTTTAATATGTTATGTATATCATGTACGTATTTGAAAGAGAGTTACAGTGTAGATAGATAGATAGATAGATAGATAGATAGATAGATAGATAGATAGATAGATAGATAGATAGATAGATAGATAGATAGATAGATAGATAGATAGATAGATAGATAGATAGATAGATAGATAGATAGATAGATAGATAGATAGATAGATAGATAGATAGATAGATAGATAGATAGATAGATAGATAGATAGATAGATAGATAGATAGATAGATAGATAGATAGATAGATAGATAGATAGATAGATAGATAGATAGATAGATAGATAGATAGATAGATAGATAGATAGATAGATAGATTTCGGCATAAAGGTAAACATGTTACATGATAAACAAACACAATATAGATTAAAACAATTACAAAAAAATAAATAAATGAATAAAAACTATATTATGTAAACCATGACATGTTCCCAAAACCAAGGATAACACAAAAAAGAGCAAGCACTTATTTCCATTGCGGTCCTTAGCATTTGGTGGCATGACATAGAGAGGTATTTCATAAAAGAAAAAATATATCACAAATTATAAGATAAATCACGTTAATAAAGGATATCATTTAAAATTATCACAATTCAAGATGTAAGGTATGTTAATAAAAAGTCATTATCACATTAAGAAATAAGTATGTGCATAGTAAGAAAAGATTACATTTAAAAAATATCACAGTTGTTATGAGTATGTAAGGAAAGAACATGCCATAGATTACGCTATTCAAAAAAATATCTTAGTCTTAATAAGAAATTTAAAACAAATATGTGTATGTATGAATGTAAAACAATAAAGCTGTATTATAAGCTAAGGTGTTGATTTTAATAATCCTCAAATAAACAGAATGTTACAGCTCAGATAAAAGTAATCATCTCATAAAAAAGATTAGATTTATATGAAAACATCGACGAATAATATTTTCTTATCTCTGTAAACAAATAATGGAATTCTCATCTTGTTGAATTCATAAAATGAGGTAGCTTTGTTAGACTTCATAATATGGAACCAGACTAAAATGCACAGACAATGATGATGTAACGAATTCAGCTTAACACAAGTTGTCCATCTATTATGATATATACCATTTTGCATTTGACAAAACTGCATCAGCGTAGGAACCGTATATGGTTAAAGTATATTCCAGATCGTTGTTATTTCAATTGCTTTATCAATTTTTCTCGCTATTACCCGCACAGGCGTATTTTCGAATTAACACTCGTGTTAAGACAAGATTCACAGGGAATAAAGAAATAGAACGAGTAAACCACTAAATACAATTGAGGCGATACTTAATTTAGCTACTATGTGTGAAAACGCTTCCTCTGTAACACGGTTCTCAATATTTTATTCAATCACCGCTGCGTCATATGTGTTCACTATAGGCGAGCGATTATATGCGTTGAAAATCGAATTTAGTGCTAGGAGGAAACTGTGATTATGGTTTTTCAGAAGTGTTTCGAGCTACCTTTCAGGCCAGAAATTGAACATTTTTTTCATTTTTTCATAAGATTTCGCAAAATAAAAGATCGCCGGAGAAATGCAATATCTTGGCAAAAAAGACAACAATAACACCATGATTATTTATTAAAAAATTAACTTCACCATAATTAAGGGGTCTAGTGTATTTATTGAATTTAGTATTTGAACGGAAGTCAGAATATTCGTACTACTATCACATTTTGCTACATTTATGACAAATCATTTCACATTCATCACAACTTTTTTCAGGAAACATTTGACTGATTCCTTTCCATTTAACAAATTCCTTCGCAGCCATTTTACGCTTGTGTAAAACCTCACTTGTCATTTCAAATATCTCTTTGCATTATACATGTACATAAAATCTTTTGTAATACTTTTAAATATAAAAAGTAATTTTCTACTATCAAACCGAAGGAACATGATTCAATAACATCTAAACAGCATACATGTAGTTAATTTGTAGTCTTCATAATTCTGATCAAAAATTATATTTTCAATGTATTTCTACCAACAAATGGCTTGTGATGAACGAAATGTATGTCTTCTTCCTATGAGCTTTTAAATGGACACTTTTTTGTTCCGTAGTAAAATGTATACACTGTAAGTTGACATTGTAAAGGTCAAATCGGGACAATCGAACTTTACTAGTGCAAGGAATCCTTAAGCAGTGTTTAGAGCACGAACGGGCATGTAAGATAAACCACTGATCTTCTGTCAGCTAGATGTACAGTTTAACACAGAAATAAATATGGAGTCATGACTGGTATTATTGAGCACGTCTGTTGCATAACCAACTTGACAGTTGACAAAACGCTTAAATGAGGTAAACGTTCATTACATTTGCATTTGGGTCTGACAGTTTTAGAAGTCTATTCTTCATTTTTTCTAACTGAAAAACATAAAGCTTTAGAAAATGTTTTGTTTTAATGTTTTTATGACGTATTTTAATAATTTATCGAGATAAACTAACTTTCAGAAGGTAATTTTAGCAGGGAAATAGCTACGGGAAACCGTAGAACAATATACAATTGTATGTTCTAAATTGGGATGTGGAAAAACCAATATGCTACTATAATAAGACCCTTATCACAACTTCAAAAATTTTCACGATAACCTACTTTATACTCTTCAAACAAGAAGGAGATGTTGTATACTTAACAAGAAAAGTAAGTTTATGATCATTTTATCTATTTTCGGTGCAAACTAAGGCAATGACAATACTTCAGAATAAAGTGATACAGTTGTTTTGCAAATTGGCAAACAAACAGTCATTTATTGTTATAGCAGCTAATATCATAGTTGATAGAAGCACATATGTAAGGCATCTTTAAGTTTTAACACGAATCTAAAACATGTATAATACCATTTAGTAGACTTAGCAGGTGAATGAAAAAACTATATTTTTCAAAATGTTTTCCATCAATGCTGAAATAATTGTGATTACGTTTTATCGCCAACAAATACATATGTCAGTTATAACATGTACGTGTATACCTTCACCGCGGTTAACATTTCATAATTGCAGAATGAAAATTGTTTCGTAGGGTTAAACTTTGAATGATTATAGATTATAGATGTTTAGAGCGTTTCACTTAGCAAAACCTATTTTTTACCCGACCTTTACTTAATTAAGACCATTTCCGTACTTGTTAAGTGTAATCATAAGCTTTTCTTGTAAATCATAGGCTTTTTATACTTAACGTCATTCTTAATTTCATCCCGTACGCAGCTGCACAACCTAAACTGAACGAGGTTTTACCTATTTTACAAAAGCTTTGACCAGAGAGAAATATATAAGATAAAGATACTTGACCTCAACAGTGTCTTTTGTGTATTTTAAAGCTTGTATTATGTTAATGTTATATATTTAAAATCATTTCCTTGTAAAGTGAACATAAAAGATCTTCTTGATAAAACCACTCGTCCAATTTCAAACTTGCAAGGATTGTCCCTTGGGTAAAGGCTATCTAAGTTGCTTATTGATGTCATGCAGAAATCTAAATGCCATGGCAACCAAAAGATATAATAACACGAACGTTAAATATATTTTCTAAAGAACCACAGGTCTAGCTATAGCTTAGATGTTTTGCATAATGTATTTTCTGGTGGACCTTTACCAAACTTATTCAAATTATAGCCCTGAAATCAAAGTTGGCCCCGCCCCTGGATATAATTTCCTAATATGTATTTAGTAAAAAAATTAAAATCTTCCTCAAAATTTTTAATGCAAGAGCTTCATAGATATTTAGCATGAAACATTATCTAGAAGACCTATACAAAATTGTTCAAGCTATAGGCCTGGGGTCAAAATTGCCAGACATGGGGACATGAGTTTTCTTTGTAAACATATAGTTGTTACTTTAAAATTCTTTATGTGTTTTCTTCTGAAAGTTCAATGGTTAGATCATAAAAGATATAGCATAAAAATACTGAGAAACATGGTCAAACTGCGACTCTAGCGCTAAATGTTGTTTTGCCCTTAAGAATTATGGGTTTGCCTTATACACAAACTTACAAATAATTTATATTTTCAATGTATTCCTACAAAACAAATTGCTTGTGATGAAAGAAAGTTATTTCTTCTTCTTATGAGCTTTTAACCGGTTTACAGACATTTTTTGTTCAGTAGTAAAACATTTACACTGTAAGTCGACATTGTACAGGTTAGATCGGGAAGCTCGAACCTTTCATAAACAATGCTTTAAGCACAAACTGGCATGTAAGAAAAAATATCAGTCTTATGTAGGCTGGATGTATAGTTTCTGAACAAAAACAAATCTGGATTGTGGATCAAGATCGTGACATCAACAATTCGATTGTGGACAAAACGTTTATAAATAATTTACGAATACATGTACTTAATTTTTTAATCATAATTGTTAAGCTGCCTATTCCTTGCTTTTGTTACTAAACAATAAAGGTTTTTTTCAATGTTTTACGATTTTACTTTTTATAATTTATCGTGATATACTTATTTTCATAAAAAATGTTAGCAGGGGAAAATATAAAATAAACAAAATAGCTCCGGGAAACCATAGAACGTACAATTGTATGTTCTAAATTGGGATTTGGTAAAACCCATTTGTTACTATTATAAGACCTTTATCACAGCAATTTCAAAACATTCATGATAACCTACTTTATTCTCTTAAAACAAAAAGGAGAATGTTGAATAGTTAACAAGAAAGGTAAGTTTATGATCATTTTATCTATTTTCGGTGCAAAATAAAGCAATGACAATACTTCAGAATATGCTTATTAAAGTTGCTTTTACATATTTTCAAACAAGCAGTCATTTATTTGTGTATGCAGCTGATATCATAGTTGATAGAAACACATATGTAAGGCATCGCGTTTACAAAAATCAAGAATACAATATCCTTGACTAAGCAGGTGAATGAAAAAAGATATAGTTTACACACTAAAAAATGTTTGAATGTTTTGAATGAAAAAAATATATTTTTCAAAATGAAATGTTTTCCATCAATGCCATCTCGATAACTCTGAAATGTTAGTGATTTAGTTTTATAGACAACAAATATATTTGTCAGTTATAACATGTACCCGTATACCTTCAAAATGGTTTGCATATCATAATTGCAGAATGAAAACTGTTTTGCATGGTTAAACTTTGCATGCTTATAGATTATAGATGTTTAGAGCGTTTAACTTAACACAACCTATTTCTACCCGACCTTTACTTAATAACGACCATTTCCTTACTTAATTAAGTGACCATTGGCCAGCAAATCATAAGCTTTTTTGTAAATCATAGGCTTTTTGTACTTACTTTTTAATTGTTAATTACATATTTCCCGATTGTCCAAACCTATACTGGACGAGGTTTTACCAATTCTGCAAAGGCTATGGCCAGTGTGAATATATAAGATAAGATACTTGACCTTAACAGTGTCTTTTGTGTTATTTTGTGGTTTAAATTATGTCAATGTTATATCTAAAATCACCGTCTTTGTATAGTGGACATACAAGAACCACAGGCCTATGACTTAGATGTTTTGCAAGGGGTATTTTCTAGTGGACCTCTACCAAAGTTATTCAAATAAAGCCCTCAAATCAAAATTGGTCCCGCCCAGGGTTATGTTTGCCTAATATGTATTTAGTAAAAGTTTTAAAAATCTTCCCCAAAATGTCCAATAAGCAGGTCTTAATTTCAACATTCATGAATGTCTTTTCCCCCTAAACGTTTTTCAGCAATCTTATTTAACCATGCATTTAATCAATTATTAGCATCTAAATAAAGCTTAATAATATAAAACATATGGGAGAATAACTGTGACAATATAATTTGTTTTTGACATAAGAAAAATGTCTTACATTTAGAATCTTCTGATATTAATTAATTCAATATAAGTTTGATGAAACACAGAAGAACCATGCATGCCTATTTTTGACACTGCTTTAACAGAGATGTATTTCCTGTAACTTAAACGTAACTCATGTAACAAGATGTAAAAGCCATTTTTATACTATGATATACTATGCTTATCCTTGAGCAACATAATTTTATCACAAAAATTCTTACTGAAAAGGTCTAATTTGAATAACAGAATGAGTATACTATATATGGGAAGCTGCGTTCCCTATTACAGGCCAAGTAAAATTGGTCTTTTCATTAAAGAACTGCCATCTTTTTAATTACACTATATATTCATATTGTGTCTACCTTTAGTGTGTGTACAGTTTTAAACATAAAATGTCTACTTGGTGTGAAGTAACAACATGTTATATTTACATAGTTACTGTGTAGCAATCATAAATATTCTCTTATATCAAATTTGAGGATAGTATATCTTTAAAGTAGGTCCTTATGAGATGACAATCAAACAACACATAATAGCGTTCAGATAATAATAATCTTAAGATAAAATAAAATGGAATTCAATAAAAGTGTGATAACATAAGGAAGTACCAAGCATGCTAACTTTTTGACACTGCTGTAACAGAAGTGTCTTTCGTGTTACATTACTGTCACTCATGTAACAGCACATAAAATTTGATTTTAATTTTTAATTACTAAGGTTTTAATAGATGGTAATGAAGTAACAATGAATCACTTTAAGAAGATATTTAATTATTTTATGCTTTTCATTGGATTACTGATTTATTCGTGAAAATTATATTTGGTAATTTCACAGTGAAAATTATCAAAATATAGTTTCACTCTTTTCAATGACGAAACTACTTTTTTAAGATTTTCCCTATGTGATACCTCAATTTTATTTTTGCTGACAATTCTGACAATGTCAGGCTGTTTAAAGAAAAAGCAAAGCTGAAATTGATAAATAACTTAAATGTCAAAAGTAATAAAAAGAAGAAAACTTACTTCTATTCATTCAAATTCCAATCACCAAATTTCGTCCCTAAATTTTTTGTTTCATTTTTACAGTCTGAAAAATACATTCCTTCCCCATGCAAAACTGCTCTTGATGACATTTGGGCATATTAAAGTATCCTATGAGCAATAACTGCCGTATGCTTTATGAAAAATTGAAAAGCATTGACAGCCATCACTCGAAGAATAAGTAAAACAACCCAGCGTTCTTGAGCAAGCTTCCAAGTTTTCCATTTTCCTAGCTCCTTTTCTGAATGTTTACACATCTGTCAACACTAATTTTTTGTCTGTTACAATCCTCAAATAAGTTTTCTTTCTTTTAAAAAGGTGTATGACTAACAAATCCAAATTATATCCCTCTGAATCTTACACAATTATTTTCCTCCCATGAAATACACAACTTTAAAAAATGGCTGCCGTTTACAATTTACAAAGCCAGGTCTAATATAAATTCGCAGTAAGTAACAGAAATATGGATGGATGGTTGGACTTTTTCTCCTACAAGAATTGTTTGTTTTTATTATTAAATAAAGCGATCATTCAAAATTTTTTAATAAAATGAATAAATATCACCGTCATTTAACGTTGATTGGCGGACTTATTTTTCAGCTCAAGACTTCTTGTTTTTAATGAGAAATTCCGACTAAATGGGGCTCTCAATTGGGGAAACAGTTTTAATATTAACGTTAAATTATGGAAATTTCGTTTTAACTTGTTTGTAAGCATAAAATAAAAAGAAAATTTGGCTGTTTGTTGTGTAAGATGTCATTTTATTTCATCTCGTGAACTTTAAAAACAGTATTCTTACTCGTGGCTACGCCGAAATAACATTTCATCTTACACACAAACAAACAAATATCCTCTATATATTAAGATAAAATAAAATGACATTAAATGCACTAAATTTATAACAATAGAAACTGCAATATTCTAAATATTTACATTTTGAAAAATCAAATATATTCTATCTTTGTTATATGAGTTAATTATGCTTTGGAAAGGATGATACAAAACCTGTTGATTGATTTATTATTATTATGAGTAGACACAATATCCACTATCTAGCTGTTAAATATGAAAGAGGTACAGGATTGACATGAGAGAAGTAGTAAGGTCATAATCAATGCTCTTATGGCAAAATAAAGACATATTAAGCTTGCCAAAATAAGTTTTCATCATTGGTAAATATCTCTTATCAACCCCAATAAAACATCAAAAGATAAAAATTATTCAAACTGAAAATGCTGTGACAATACTCTAACACATAACATTTTATATGATCTAAATATGATCTATTTATTTATTTAACGGCGTAAGCTTGTTTCCTTATAAGGCTTTACTTTTGAGCGTGTTTTTTAATCTTTACCTATACATAAAATAATTATTGACTTTATGATATGATCTTCACCTGCAGAAAATCATATTGACATCGTATATCGCCTCGGTCAATATGCCGGTGAATTTCACATCATATTCAATGGATCATTAGTCAATAATTGTATAATATTACCTAACCTCAAAATGCATTCATCTTCATAGTTATAAAAATAACACATAAAGGAGCGTTTTATCATATTCTCAAAATATTTTAACATGATCATTTTGTTTACATTATCCGGTGATTAATCGTGTTATCTTAAATATCCTTCCAAAATGCCTATAACAGCTTTTTATATTTTAGGTGAACAATAAAAAAAAGTTTTTTCTTTTACCTGTATTCAATAAAAGATAACTATGGATGTTTTTTTCTGTTTTTTTTTTCTTTTTTTTTTTTTTTTTTTTTTTTTAAAACAACCAGTAAATGCTTTTTTAGTGTTTTTAGTATTGTTCTGTCTCTGTTATATTTTTATATGTTCATTTTTAAAGCATTGTCTAACTTTTAAAGCACTAAAGCATGAAATTAAAACTACTTTCTCAAATTCTTCCTTGGTTGATTAGTATTTCTTATGTTTCAGGACGAAATGACGGACAAATATTATCGACTAGTGACCATTTTGGTTAATATATGTCCTGATCCTCTGCGGGAGTTATTTCTGAAACAGGCAGCCGCAGACCCTAATCTCCAAACACCATACACTACATTAGATGCTTATTTAGCGTTCAGGAGAAAGGATATCAATAAACTTACCCAAAAGCCAAAATGTGTTCTACGAAAGGATCAATTTTATTTGTTGTTCCCACCTGCAGGTCAAGGTCAAACAGATATCATCGCGTGGGATGTGACATTATTAACTGCTCTGTTGAAAAACATTTTTAACTTAGCCCAAAATGATCTTGTGTGTATCGAAAATATCAGGACAATCAGAAATGATCTCCAACATATCGCAGGTACGTGTAAAATAACTGAACAAGAATTTAAGAATAAATACAAAAACTTAGCTGTGAACATTGTAAACTTAGCATTATCTGTTAAAGGTCAATCTTATGCAGACAAGATTGAACAAGATATTAAAGAGGTAGAAAGTTCTATATTAACAGATCTAGGAGAAGTGCTAAGGTCATGGTACATGAGCAAAATCGTAAAATTGGAAGCAAAGATAGAACACCTTAAGGATCAGATAGATGAAATAAAACAAGATACAGGCCAAACCATGAAAACTTTAAAGAAAACCACTGTCAAGCGAACACGAGCCGGAGGTAAAATGTCGAAACGCTTCAAAACTGTTGATCATATACTTGAAAATATGAGAGGTAAGCCTTCTTATGAATTTCAAAGTTTTTTCAAAAAGTTAATGGCATTATAATTTGGTGGTCGTTTAAAACACCAATATACGTTTTGAGGCAATATCTGACAGTAAATGTTTATACTTGTTATTGAAGAATTTTATACCCTAAGGTTTCCACCAATAAAACAGTGTTCATATGATTATTATCGATACATTATGAATTAACATTTTCTTGTATAATTGACATTATGTTTTCAAATAGAAGACTTTGCGTCTTTACTAACCAACAAACTTGACAGCGACTTTTCACCTCCGCCAGAAAGTGCAAAAATCATTGCAGAAATCGACGATAATCACCTAGTGGTCGTGTCAGGATACGGCAAAGGTCTGTATCTACAAGCGGCACTTTATGCTATAAATAGCAAGGGATATGAAGAGGACGATTGCATCCTATGTTCAAGTCCCACAGACTGGCGTCATATCGGTAAGGAAGATGCCAAGTTAGTTGTGTTCCTTCACCCATTTGGCAAGAGTACATTTGATTTACAGAAAGCAAAAGACTTTCATTCAATTGTGGATAGTATTGTTGAAACAACTTCCTTTAGCGACAATGATGATGTGCTAGATGTTGTTATAATAATGGACAAATCAATTTTAGAAGAATGGAAAAGTTATTTTAATCATGATATGATGGATCAACCAATCGTTGTCTACAAACCAACCACTGAAGACTCACCTGTGGACCTTATTGAAGGTACACGTATTTAGTAACGCTAATTCATTTTATTGATTACAAATACAAACATGTTTTAAGGGCATCTGTATCTGACTACTTACTTATGACAAAATATTTTACTTATTTGTAGTAAGTCAGCTATTTGTTATGTGTGTCATTTCGTTTTTTAAACATCAAGATCTGGATCCACAACATACTCCTTTAGAATACATGGTCCTTATCCTAAACTTTAAAATAAGCCTTCGATGTGGGATAAGAATACAATATATGATACGATCTTTTATATTTCATTTTCAGGTGAGAGCAATATGTCAAAGGTTGAAGCAGATCCACACTATAAAAACTTACTTGGTATGCATAATTCAGTTTTTAATAACATAAAAAGGGGCAAGTTTATCTAACAAATTATTCGATAAAGCATCATTTTTTACATGTAAATACACAAAATTTAATATATATTCTAGATACTTCTAATAATGTTTGAACAAGTAAAGTCAGAAGTTGTTAAAAACTCCGGTAGTTTTATAATCAAATAATAATTCTCATTTTCCATCTTGCAGTTCAATCAATTGCCTACAATAAACATCATAGAGCATGGATGGCAGACGACAGCATCCGGGAAAACGCGTTGGAAGGATTCCGCTCTAAGAAGGTAATCGTCATTTCCGGTCCACGTTGCAGTGGAAAAACGACGCTTGCTCTCTCTCTACTGACGTCATATCAAGATGGTCACTACCTCATACTAACAGAACCGGATGATCTCAGTTGTGTCAGATTTGGTGTTACCTGTGTTGTTATCATCGAAGATCTTGGGGGAAAGTACTCGTTCGAAAAGTCCGTCATTCAAAAGTGGTTGCGGAAATTTGATATGCTCTACTCGGCAGTCAAAGATGGAAAATTAAACGTGATCATCACATGTCTAACAGACCGGTTGCTATCATGCGTTCACGATTCAAAGCATCCAATGCTTGAAACTGTCATTGAATTACCGAAAGATTGTTCTGTTGAAATCAAGAAAGAGTCATCGACAGGTTCGTATGAAATGTTATACCATCTACCAGTATAATATTTAATCTTAAATTTTCCGAATATTTGTTTCAATATTGATTCTTAAATTTTGGTAATTATTCATTTATGATTTACGTTTGCTGGCTTTAGATATATATCTACATATAAATGTATTTAAAAGAAGATCTTATTCTTGTTTGCATAAAGGGAAAATAATTATCTCATATATGTTTTCAGATGGTAATTCTGTAGTGTACGCTGGAATAAGGTAAATCCTCTTTTGTTCGGTTTGTTCTTTTCCAGGTGATACTTAATTGTCTTTGTTTGTTTTAAGATAATTGATATTGTGTTACAAGCAGATTTTTTATAGTGATACCTTGTTTTTATTATTTATTGTTATTTTGTATTCTAAGTAAAATCTGGGACAAATAAGGTTATGTTTGTCCCAGGTAAAACATCTTTTGATTTTACATTAAAACAACAAAAAAGATATAAACATACGAGGGATGTTACAATATGATAATACTTTATCTTAAATTTCTATATATGTGACAATATTTATACGCTCGAATAAAGCACACATTTCAGCCAGAAATGGAACATAAAATGTGCATTATTCAGTTGGATTGAGATTTTCTATGCTCATTAAAAGGTATTTGTCACTTAAAAAAAATGCGCATAAAAATGAAAATATGAACGTATACGTCACATGTGCTTTTTAATTGAATAAAACCGTTTTCAATAATATTGTTTATTAAAAATATGGTGATGCTGCTGCTGCTGCTGCTTCTGATCATTTTAATCATGATGATCATGATGATAAGATAATGATAATGGTAATGATGATATTGTGGCGAAGGAGATAGCATATATATCTAAAAAGTATAATAATAAAATATAACACCGATTTTTCAAATGTTGTAAAAAAAGAAATATTTCACCGAAGTTTTAAAAAGTGTAAGTGCTATATAGCTAAATGTTTAAAACACTGATATTGAGCTTCCTAGTCGTTAAATCTGTACTTTATTTCTCTGATCAGTTATTTCATAAATAATTCCGTTTTAACATACAATGTTATTCCTTAACTTTGCATGAAAAGAAATTGTTATGTTTGCTGTAAATGACATACTTTTCTCCTTTTTTGTCATTTGAAAAATCATTCGTAAAACAATATGCCGCAATTATTTTGAACATCTGAAGTCGTCTTCGGTGAAAGAAGTCTTAATATTAAGTTATTTTTGTCATACGACATTTAATAAAGATACAAATTGTATGTACATGTATATCATCATTTTACGATTTAATCATTTCACAATGTGAAAAAGAAAGGAATTTGAGTAAAGGAAGGTTCAATATTGAATTTATTGAAAGAGTAAAATAAAAGTTTCCTACACATCTGTTTTCTAGTGATTACACCGGTGCTTTATAATTTTATCTTACACCAGACCTGTGTACATAAAGCTGAGTGCTTTAAAATGATGTCATTCTCTCTTTTTTTTGAATGAATGGCGTGCTAAGGATGAGGTTATTTCGTCGTTAATATTCAAACACTGCTATAAATAATAGATAGAGCATCGAGAAACGAAGCTTATGATTAGTCAGATTGCCGAGTGTTTTGATGTTCTTTCTCTATTGTTTCATACCTGAGCGACCATTTGGATTTTACTTTTCTATCGTTATCCCTTTCCTTATCAACACAATAAGTAAATTCAAGAAAAATTAGCCTATCAAAAAACATACATTTTTCATATCCCCAACAGACAGTGCTTAACTGGAGTGCAGGTACACAACATGCAAGTAATCACTGGATGTCGTAATAGATTGGTAACCGCCACCGTGGTCAAGGGGTCAGAGTCGATGACTTCTCATCCAGTTATCTCTCTGGCGTGGGTTCGCTCCCCGGGAGATGCTTTGGTAGTTTAGCGCGGAGGAAGGTAGTCTAGTACTGGTGTTTCTCTCCAGGAACGATGGTTAGGAAAGTAACCTTCTATATGACTGAAATACTGTTGGGAAAAGGCGTAAAATGAAACAAACAAACAAACGTAATAGATTGGAGTGCACTAATAACTAATATCTGCACTCCAGTTAATATTTCATAATATTCACACTGGCCATAGCTTTAGCAGTTCTAAGCAGTTTGTCCATCGCAGCAACGGTGGAATATTCGTCGCAGAAGCGGAGGATAAAAAATGGCCAAGTATAAAGAAACTCTATAGAAAAGTTTCAATTTTGCCTATATGTCTAAAGTCCTTTAGTACGATTTTCTTGAAATATTTCTGCACATCTAGAGGCATACACCTTTATCGAGTTACACGAATGTATTAAATGTTTATCAATGTTATAGTAAAAAATAAACAATTAAAATATAAAAATACCCAACAGATGAATGAGACCAACGATTTACATTGAAATACATATCAAAAGAGACGTCGGACTTCATATCATTCACCATAAAAATAATGATGATGCTGTTGAAAGTGATCAAATCAAGCTGATTTTGATAAGATAATTAATTAAAAATTTCTATAATAAATGTGATGATAATAATAAATTTAAAATGGAAGTTATGATTATGATGATGAAAGAGATAATAATTATGATATTGATGATAATGATAGGAGTAATAATGATCTAATGTTGATGATGAGTGTAATGATTAAAATGATTATGCAGATGATTATTATTTTAATAATGATAATGCTGGTATGCAGGTGTGAATGATCCTGATTATGATGATGAAGAAGATGATGATGATAATAGTATTCTAATGATGATAATAATTGCAGTAATGATGATTACGGAAGCAATGGTAATTACGGTTTCGATGAAGATTGTGGTGATAACAATTTTGATGACAATGAATGTGATTTTAAAGTGATGAATATTAAGGTCATTATCATATCAATATAAAGAGGCGTTATGATAATTTTATAAGGAAGAGGCATATGATTATGATGATGATGATGATGTTCATCATCATGATCACCATTATAATCATCATAATTTGAATAATGATGGACGTGATGATGTTTTTAATGATGATGTTGATGACGATGATGGTTTAGGTGATGATTTCAATGATAATAGTGATGAATATAATGATGACGACAACGTTGATTTAAGAAAGTTCATGACGTGGAGCTTTATTGATCAACAGCGGTATCATTTTTTTATTGTTATATTGTCAAAAACACGTCCGAGAGCTTTATTCGGTGATAACGAATAAAGCTCTTGGATGGCGTTATGTACAGCGCCGCGTTAAAGGCTCTCTTGGAGCTATTTTAGTCAAGAGCTAAATACAGCGTACGGTAAAAGGCCTCAAAGAAAATTAAATATTGACAACATATGACAACATTTGTCAATAATACTGTGTTATACTTGTATTATTATTATATTTCAGTACGATCACATCATCCTATAACAGAGTAAAGAAGATCCAAACGCATACAATTAAATCTCCTGAAAATGTGACAATTTACAGGACGACAGAATGGTGTCAACATCCAGATGGGTCATTTCTCTATTTAGCCAACATACGAGTATCATCAGTTGATGATGATGAAGATGATTCCATCTATACATCTCAGATATATAAAACTGTTATTATTCATATCAGTTCAGACTTTGAATACCAGTGTTACTACAATACTGATATAGAAGAAGACTGGTATTATAAAAAACATATCTGTTGTACTGATACTGGGGATGTGTTGATTTATGTGGTTAATCAAATAAGATTGTACAGAATTTCAAGCGGAAAACTTCAATTCATCAAATCTACAAATATGGAGTTTTCCTGCTCAAGTATTTCCTACTTCAAGAATAAGATTTACTGTTTTACTGATGAGGAATCATTAATTCTAGATACAAATCTAGATATAAAGAGAAGAGTAGAACTTATGGGAATTGGTGTCGACAATATTTTACCATGTTCATTACAAAAGTACATTAGTATTTTTGATTTTCTCAATAAATGTATCATATGTGAGGATTCCAGACTTAAGCAACTTAAATATTTAAGAAAGGAAGGATTTCTACCTATGTGTATGTGCGCTGCTACTGAGGATAGCGTATTTGTATTTGGGAGACAGACTGGGGTCTTCAAAATTGTACAGGTGAACACTGACATGACCCTGCTCTCAGAAATATGTATAGAAAGAAATGAGTTGGACCATATTGATCTGTGTTATGAACATAAAATAGTGTTTGACAAAGATAATTCCAGATTAGTCATAACATCAATTGGTGACGATGACGAATTCGTAATGTTTCATACAATATACTTAGAGTGAACTGATTATATACCAGTGTTCCATGTATATTTTTTCTCCAACATAGACAGTCTATGCAGTTTCACTGTACTTACCTGCTTTATTCATATTCATAAACAAAACGATGATTTTAATTTCCTCATATTTTATACTTCAGTAAAATGTTTTCTTTTTCAAACATGCTATAGGAAAACTGTGAAGAAAAATTATTTCATAATCTATAGATTACTTTATATTTTACAATTTATTAAAGTCAAATTATCTCAACAAATAAATGGTGTGTAAAACTGGATAAATCATACTATAGTCTGTCCCACCACTTTTAGAAAAAATATGTTTTATTCAATATAATAGTAAACACTTCTAGCTTTGTAACCCTTGAGTCAGTATCTCTGGGCAGGTTTTCACTTTGTTTTTCAAAAAGAACATAAAATTATAAAATTGTTAACTTATTTTTTAAAATTACTTTTTGTTTGTTTTAGATAAAGAATATATCGTTAACACTAGTTATAATCCAGAAACATATATTTTCTACAAGTTCCTCAATAATACGGTTGTATGTGTGCCAGTTGTCGTTACAGACGGGTCAGTCATAAATGATCATATACCTAAATGTTTGTTTTTAAAGAACTCAACTGAGGTCAAACACATAAGATTTTAATTTCCTACACTGGTCAAAAAGAGATTTGTAAAAAAAAATCAGAAATATACTTTGAAATTAATTGGAAATTATAGCCCGATTTGAGTGAAAGGCGTTGCAGTATTGGTGTATACATTGATGTTTACGGTCATTTTTTCATAATATTTAATTAGAATAATTATCCTAGAAAATGATCTGAAGTTAACACATTCAAAATTTATTGATCTACACATATCAAATTAAATATTAATCTCTAAAGATTATTTCTAGTCCCATCATGTCATAAAAGACTCAGTGGAGTCCCGTTAATGCACACAATTTTTTATATTGTTCATATTCTATGCATACATGTCAATTTATCTTTAAAGGGAATTTTCAAGTAATTATGTTTACAAATATAATACTAGAAAACTTGCTTAATGAATTCTTTGAAAGTATGTTTTTTACATACCGTGATTCTTGAGCTCACCTGTCACAAAGAGACAAGGTGATCTTTTGTCATCGCTTTTCGTCCGGCATCTGTCCGTCCGTCGTCCATTAAATTTTACTTTAAACGACATCTCCTCATAAACCACTGAGCAAATTTCATTCAAATTTCACAAGAATGTTCCTTTGGTGGTCAACTTTGAAAATTGTTCAAAAAATTTAATTCCATATAGAATTCTGGTTGCCATGGCAACTGAAAGGAAAGAACTTTAAAAAAATCTTTTTAAAAAACCCTTAAGAGCTAGAGCATAGATATTTTGCAGTAATCATCTTCTAGTGAGTGTCTTCTAAGTTTGTTTAAATAAAAGCACTGAGGTCAAAATTAGTCCCGCACATTGGGAGGTCATGGGTTTTCCCATATGTCAATTGTAAAACTTAAAAAATCTTCTTTAAAAAATCTCAAAAAGCTAGAGCTTAGATATTTTGCATGAAACATCTTCTTTGCTTGTCTACCAAGTTTCTTCAAATAAAAGCCCTGGGGTCAAAATTGGTCCTGCCCCGGGGGTCATTGAATGTCCATATATGTCTAATGTAAAAACTTTTGAAAAATATTCTTTTGAAAACCCCAAAGAGCTAGAGCTAAGATATTAAGCATGAAACATTTTCTAATGAGTGTCTACCAATGTTGTTCAAATAAAAGCTCTTGGGTCAAAATTGGCCCCGGCCCGGGGGGAGGGCGATTGATTTTCCTTATATGTATATAGACCTTTTTACGACGCGGTCGGATGCTATAAAAATTGACTGGAAGTGGTAGTTTTTCGCGCATGCGCAATTTGCGTAGGGCAAAAGAGCCTTGCCCTACATAGAAATGTAGTATAAATTCATAGACAATTCGGAGTTAGTTTAAGGTAAAAATTAGAAAATCATATAAAATAGCTTTTAACAGAACACAAAAGATGTCTTCATAGCTTTATGGACAAGATTGGCTAAAAGGGTACGGAAAGACGATTTTTTGAGAATTCCCCCTTACGATCACGACCCTGACATTGAAATTATTGTTGTAAAAAATGTTGAAATATATATATTAGCAAATAAGGAAGTCAATTTAATTGTTGTTGAAATATAAACAACATATAAAATTTATCTTATTATAACATATAATATATAACATTTAAAATCGAGGTTAATTATCAATCTGAAAAAAAGTCGGAACACGTGTTATAATGCGTTTTAGTTTTCAATTTAGCTAATTTAATCCTTTATCCGACTTGACTGAGATGCCAAACAAAAAAATTTAAGTCACATAATTATATATTCAAATAATTTTTTAAACTCTTGAGAAGTTAAGATGAGTGGTGGAATAACACACATTTTGTCCGGTTCCTTGTAACACATGGAAATGCACGTCACGTACACTATTTGTCACATCACAAAATCAATAAACATTGATGAGATTGGTATAAATGAAAGTTACTTAAATTACGATTAATCATTTTCATAGTTTTAAGAAATTAATATGTCATGTTACTAAAACGACCCGGTTGAATGATAAACTAGCTGGCAAATAACAACCGGTCACGAGTCAACTTGTTTGACACTTACCGCCTTGCCAATCCACTTTCAAAGGAATATTATGTTATACATGGGTAATAATATGTGATCTTTAACACCCTGCTGTTTTAATTTAAATTACTGATGAAAAAGTCACCTAATGATACCTTGAATAGAGGACTTTTGTCCGCTAATTTTGTGTACCTGTTATAAATATCAATTCACGTTTTAAGTACTTACCACCTCTTTTTATCCCAAACTTTCTTTTATCTGGGTAACATAACTTGAAATCACGCCTTTTAAAGCCTTAAAGTACACTAGAATGTAATCTTTCTTTATTGAGCTTTGGCCTTACGCAGAATGCGCATGCGTTAAAATGCAACATACGTTGCTATAGAAAAATCGTACTGTAAAAAGTCTATAGTAAAAAAAAAATATTTAAAAAAAACCCAGAGAGCTAGAGCTTAGATATTAAACATGATACATTTTCTAGTGAGAGTCTAGATTTTCATGGAGTAAATCTTTTTTAAAACACCCAAAGAGCCAGAGCTTAGACATTTGGCATGAAACATCTTCTAGTGGGTGTCTACAAAGAATGTTCAAATAAAAGCCCTGGGGTCAACTATGGGAGCCATTGATTATTCTTATATATACACATCTTTTAGAACTGTTCTTTTCCCTAAGCAATGGTAACCAGTAATCTTTTTACACATGCACTAATTCAGATACAAATATGAACTTTGTGATATCAGTTTTAGATTTTATATTCTGCTTTTGTTTATAGATTACAATAATACTAATATATGTTCCTTGTCATGGAGAGTTTTATAAACAGGTGAGCGATTTTAAGGCCATCATGGCCCTTTTGTTTTTTCTTCGAAACATTTCATATTAAAAACACATACTTGGGACCTAAATATTGATGTTAAAATAGATTACTATTGACATAAAGCTTTTAAATACTCTAGATGTCAAAATATGATAAACAAGATCAACAAGGAAAGGCGGCGTTCAATGAACGCAACCCCCATATGACCCAGCAACCAACGGCAAGGAGCCCAGGCGGACCCCGAACAAAAACAGGACAGGGCAAAGACAGAGCACGGACAGGTTTATCATTAAATGATAAATAATTTGGAACTGATTAGGAATTCAAAGAAAATAATAATAGGCCCACAAAGGGGAAGTGGACAGGAGACCGGGGGAAGGGGGGGGGGGTAATTAAAGAAATAAAAACTAGAGGCAATGGGGAAGATACTTACCGTAGACGAGAAAACAACAAGGGACACAAGCAAAAGTGTCACCAAAACAGTATGAAACAACATAGACATACATCTGAGGAACACAGTGGGGCGCCGCCTTGGAACGGTCAGCAGCATAATAATGACTGCTGGGGAGTTTAAACCGGTTAAACCTACTTACTTACAACTACATATCCTGGAACTCTTTTGTGAACTTTTGAATTGTTTGATAACTAATCAGCTGTTATCCAATCCCAAATCTGAAATCATTTTAGCTGTTGGTTTAAACGAAATATTTCAATTAATTTTATACAGTTTCAAACAGAAAATGATTATTATTATGCAATGTGTTGCCATAGAAATATGTGGCTAATAAAAGACAAGGAACCACTTATGAGGTTCAGATGAATTCTTACTTCAATAAACTTATATTCAAACTGTAAAATTTGAATAAATTGTTTATTTGATAATTCCAGGTATGTGATTGTCGTCATTTATTATAAAAAATAATTTGTTAAAAGTAATGTAATTTTCATATCTACGTCTCACTAAACATGTAAATATGTAGTCTACATTAATTATGTACATGTTGTTTTTATAAATATCATACTATGTTTTGTTGTTAAACAATTGTATTTCCAATTTTTATCATCCAAATACTTTATAACTGTACTTATTGTTTATGCATTTATTCATTTTGTAAATACTTAAGTGATATTCATTTATTAATACTTAATATTCATAAAAAGGCGTATGTACCTATTTTATGAAATAAATGATAATTATTATCAAGTGATAATACAGACTATTAAACTGAGTAACTGTTTAAAGATGCAAATTAGATTTACATTTTAAAAAGCTGTTTGACATTGTTTTTGTGAAATAAATGTTTGTACATATTAATTCCCATTTTTGACCTTATCTCACACAGAAAGCGAGTAATTAACTTTGTATCTTAATGTAAATAGATTTAAGCTAATATTCCCAATTAAATGAAAAATGTATAACTTTATAAGTTTGTTTAAATATGATAGATGACTTTATACTTCAATAAACTTATGTTCAAACTGCTTATTGTATAATCCAGAATAAAACCAGTTTATTTTCAGTAATACTATTCAAGTTCACGGGTTAGGGTACAATATTCGAAAGACGTTTTTTTAATCACTCTAAGTATATTGATGTTATGACAATGAATTTCTTGACAACCTGTATTGAATTTATCTTAGTGTGTGTATTGTAAGCATCATGTTTTGAAATATTTTTCACTTTTTTAGTATAGCATACAGATATACATGGCACATAGTCCCTGTGTTTATTTTATCACAAGCTCATGAATGGATAATTTTACAGAGTGAACATATTAGCGGGTTATTCATAAATAAACCAAACAAGTTTTGTGTATTACAATTGTATTGCAGAGCGTTACACATGTTATTTTAACATTTGATAAAACACAAGAGCACAAATAATCGTAAAAATACCCATTAAACGAGTATAAATGATAAATTATAACATATACATAAAATGTTTATATTAACGTAAGATTAACCAACAATAGATTAAAAATTCATAGAGTTTTTGTAACAGAATATACAAAACGAGCATACTTCGATTTAAAATTCATTTTATATTATAAACTATTATTTCGGATATGTCATCAATATTTAAAAATGGATTATTCAAATAAAAACCATGTGTTTACTTTTGTTTTCTATTATGATTTAGCAAAGTACCTTCATTTGAAACAAGAATTAAACCCCAGCACGTTATTACTCTGGTCAAATTTTAAGCGCTAAAAATTATAAGAACTAATAAAAAAAGCCCTTGAATTATGTAAGCGAACTAAATTAATTAAAAATACTGTCAATGTAGCAGTTTTTATGTCGAACTACATGATTATCTAAAATTAGCTTCCATCAAATACTTTAATAATCTGGACAAATACATAACTTTTAGTCAGTTCAAGATATACAGTCATATGGATAAATGGTATTATGGCAGTAAATTTATAGTCAAGAACAACAATAGGTAGGTGCCTCTTTGAAAAACAAATCATTTACATTTCGTGCCTCTTTGAAAAACAAATCATTTACATTTCACATCATCGTTGGATACAGAAATAAAGTTTATCGTCCTTCTAATGATTACAGTTTGTAAAACTTATAAGATATGATCTTGGTCTCGTAAAGGTTTCGTTTACTGTTAATATCAAAATTTTATGAAACTGAACTTTAGCATTTTCATCAAACTTAGCATTGTTAATACGCCATTGGTGTTAAAACTTCAAATTTAAATGTACTATATAGAAATCGTTCACAAGTTTGTGCTATAAATATGCTAAAATGTCATAAATATAAAGTCTTAACAAAATAAAAAGGTTGTGATTTAAATCTAAAGTTTAAAAAAATTAAATATCATATTTAGTGTACTCATACATCTTTAGATACATCGCACTTACACTTCTAAGAAGAAATAAAAGTACTATGCATACAGTGATAAAACATCTGATTGGCATGATCTTAAAATTAACATTCTATAACTTCTTATTAAATAAATATTTAGGCCAGTAGTAGAACAAAAATTTTATTCCATTTCAGATTTGACTTCTTTGTTATCAAAATTATTAGAATACTTATTTGCTTTGAAAGGTTCAGCTACATTTGGCACACTTTAATTATCACAGACAGAATCTTCCACATGTTTGCAAGTATTTTGAATTTCTTCGCCATTCGAACAATCATTAACAGTGTGATCAGCACTGGGAATTTTGTTCCGTAAAATGTCAAAGTTTGTATTTATTTCATCGTCAATAGTATCCTTAATTTCATTTTGTCGTTTTTCTGACACTATTTTGCTTGTTACTGTGTCAATAAAATGTTTAGTTACAGGATCACTAGATAATATTTCTTCCTTAGAAACACTTGTATCAAAGCTTTCACTATCACAATCCTTCTGTTGGAACTCAGAATAGTTTAACTGTTTTTCCGATAAAGTTACATTGTCTGCAATACATTCTGTACTTTCATTTGTTAATGTTTCCCTGGACATTTCAGTACTGTTTGAAAGACTATCTTCATATAGTTTTGAAACAGTGCTACTTACATTCCCATCCTTGCCTAAAACATTATCAGTAGGTTGTTTTACAACAGGGTCAAATTGTTTTATTGCAGTGGTACTTGAAATTATGTCATTGTTACAATCAACGTCATTGCACAGTTCTTTCATTTTAACAGTATCACTCAGCACACTTACTTTATTTTTTAACAGCAGAATCGCCTTGTATTTCTAGATTATCACAACATGTTTTTTTTTGTTTCACTGATGCGTCGCGTTTCCACGTCTAAATTCAAAATTTCTGTTAAAATCATCACATTTTTATCAACTGGTTGTTCTAACTATTTTTCAGTTACTTTCTTGCACTCCTTATTTAATCTTTCATATACAGCTTCTAAGAACTCTCTATCCCTCTCTGATGATATCTGTTGTTTTCTGTCTCTGATACTTATTCTGAAAATAATATGTAAAATATATTTACCTCAGTAAGATAGCCAAGGTTTTGACGTAACGACTCAAAACAGTAATATATATATATATATTAATGTACGAGTTGGAAAATTTAACCAGCTTTGGCCGCCTAGTAACAATACCATTGAGTCTTCATTATTCAAAAAATTATATGAAGATTTGAGCAAACTTTGACATAATAAACCTGTTAGTAATGTGCATTTATTAACAAAGGCATCCTTATTAAATGGCTTGTTGACTTTTATAAATATACTTTAGCCACAAGGGGAATTTTAAAGCATTGAGGTTTGTGTTCTGTAAGAAACCCGCTTGCATCTGACTAAAAGCGTATCATTTCTTTATTCAGTTACACTACTGAAACTCTGCGGCAAAATATGTAAATGTTCAAGTATCAATGTGAATTATTTCAAAGACTTAACCTTTATACATACAAACAAGCGGAAGTATTTCTTCACCAAAAAGGAATAAATCTAATTAATGAAAATATTTTAGTCAGACGTCCCATTTCCCCTTTCTTGATATCAAAAGTAACATCATCCAATGTTTTTATAAAAAAAATTGTTGTCTAAATAAATGGCCTAACCTGTCTTTCTTAAGCTGTACAAGTCTTGTTCTCAGCTCTGCTAAAGTTTCTTTGACATCTATTTTAGCCGACACGTTTGAAGGATGCCTCTTCACTGACGTCATTTTTCCAACTGAGCATGTTTTAACATCAATTACTAAATTTGGCTCTTCATTATTATCACATTTTAAATCACTTGTTACTTGTTCATTGTCATTTATATCAAAACTTGAGCAAAGAAAATCAGATTCTCTTCCTGAAGTCGTTACATGTTCGGATTTAATTGGACTGATATCATTCTCTATAGGACTGAACTCCACTGATTTCCTTTTAGTTATAGTCAATGACTCTTGATTATTGTCTGTTAGTTCAGAAATGTTCTGTTCACCAGTTTCAGTAGATGTCTTATCAGTATCGTGCTGAATCTTCAATTCCCACATTATCTCATCTACTAAACTGCTGCCCCTTTTATTAGATGAATTTCCAAATGTATCAATTTCAAAGTCAAAGAATAAATTATCATCATCACTATTTGTATTTGTTTCATCACTTTTCCTACAGCTTTCATTTGACTTGCTGCAGTTACTCACGCTTCCTGTTGTTGGTGATAATGAAGATTCAGTTACACTAGGTCTTTTCACCTGAGTATAAATAGCACCAGTTTCACACACACTAACTCGTGGAAGACTAGAATCTGTGAAACAAGGATGTACTTTTGGAGAGTTTCTGTTTCTATCTAATGAATTAAATCTGTCTTCAGTTGATTCTGAGGAACATATTCCACTATCACGGTTCTCATGGTCACCTGATCTCGTCTGTTCATCAGGCAATGATGATGATGATTGTCCTCTTGGTTTAACAGATAACTATAATAAAAATACATATTATTTAGCGAGAAAGATATTTTTCAGAATAATTCAGACTTAAGACCTTGAATCTGTTTTGTCACAAGATAGATCCATATTTTTCATTTCTTATGTTCGTAAAGCCAAAAAAAACAATAACCATAAGAACAATTAATGAAAAATATTCTATATGCATTTTTTTTAATCATTGAAAATCATTTTCTTCCTTTTTCCTTTATCTTTTAATTGTTTTGATTTGTTTGACTGTAAAATAAAGATCGATATTATTGTTGTAAAAGATGCTTGTGTGTTTACATTTCAGTTTGCGTTTAGTTTGAGTTTGGTTTTACGCCAATTTTAACACATTATTTCTCATATCTTTGCTGTAAGTGCACCTTACAGGCTTTACAGGATTAAAAAATAAAAACTCAAAAAGGGAAAAATTTTGGGGATTACAATTTGGAAAAATCATTGGTAAAGGGTCGGTAAAATCGAGTTATCTCAACAGCTTCATGATAAGGATGCGTATCATCCATATAGCCCTCAAGTCCTTTAGGTGTTTTCTGTGTGCTCGTCTCCTGCATCAGAACTCGAAGCCAGGAACCAAGCTCCGTCCAATTAATTGGCTAAATAACCAAATAATAATACATGTCCAATAACTGGCTAAATAACAAATAATAATACACTTCCAATTAATTTGCTACATAACAAATGAATAATACATGTCAAATTAATTGGCTAAATAACAAAATAATAATACACAAATACACCTTCTATTCAAGATTGCCTAACATAGATAACTAGAAATGTGTCATCATGCCACGGATGCCCCCGCATGCAGCCAAAATTTCAAATGTTATAATATTTAGTTCCAAATTTGTTTGCACAAATTTTTTTTTATTTTTTTCATTCTAAGTTCAAAGCCCTTAAAACTTTTCAATGTTAACACAAACCATTTTTATACAATGTTCAAGGCACTGAAATTATTCAGTCTTAACCTTTTAAAAATAGCATATTGCATATTTGTAGCCAACATAATGGCTATATACATTTCCACAAAAGTATGAGTGCTGAAACTGAAAGTTCAAAATTTTTCCAACATTCAGGAAAGATAAGTTTGTCCAAAATCATTGAACCACGACCAAATTCAGACTTAAACTGCTTTTCCTAAGATGTATCTATATTATTTTCAAAGTGAAAGGGACATAACTCTGCCAAAAAATCATCGAACCATGACCAAATTCCAACTTGACCTGCGCATTCCTTTGACATATCCATATGTCAATTTTGAGTTGCATATGTAACACTGTTGGGTTGATAATGAACAGAAAACTGTAAATTTCATATCATTTTTCAAAGTGAAAGGGGCATTACTCTGCCAAAAATCATTGAACCATGACCAGATTCAAACTTTGTCTGCGCATTCCAAAAACATATCCCATATGTCAAATTTGAGTTGAATGTGTAATATTGTTGGGGAGATAATAAACAGAAACTGAAAATTTCATATTATTTTCAAAGTAAAAGGGGCATAACTCTGCCAAAAATCATCGAACCATGACCAAATTTGAACTTGACCTGCGCATTCGTTTGACGTATCAATATGTCACATTTGAGTTGAATGTTTAATACTGTTGGGGAGATAATAAACGGAAACTGAAAATATCATATTATTTTCAAAGTAAAAGGGGCATAACTCTGCCAAAAATCATCGAACCATGACCAAATTTGAACTTGACCTGCGCATTCGTTTGACGTATCGATATGTCAAGTTTGAGACGAATGTGTTGTACGATTGGGGAGATAATGAACGGAAACTGAAAATTTCATATTATTTTCAAAGTGAAAGGGGCATAACTCTGCCAAAAATCATCGAACCATGACCAAATTTGAACTTGACCTGTATTTTCTCATGACATATCCATATGTCAAGTTTGAGTTGAATGTGTTGTACCATTGGGGAGTTAATGAACGGAAACTGAAAATTTCATATTATTTTCAAAGTAAAAGGGGCATAACTCTGCCAAAAATCATCGAACTATGACCAAATTTGAACTTGACCAGTATTTTCTCATGACATATCAATATGTCAAGTTTGAGTTGAATATGTTGTACCGTTGGGGAGATAATGAACGGAAACTGAAAATTCCATATTATTTTCAAAGTAAAAGGGGCATAACTCTGCCAAAAATCATCGAACCATGACCAATTTCGATCTTGACCTGTATTTTCTCATGACATATCCATATGTCAAGTTTGAATTTAATGTTTTGTATCGTTCGGGAGATAATGAACGGAAACTGAAAATTTCATATTATTTTCAATGTAAAAGGGGCATAACTCTTCCAAAAATCATCGAACCATGACCAATTTCGAACTTGACCTGTATTTTCTCATGACATATCCATATGTCAAATTTGAGTTCAATATGTGCAACGGTTATTAAGATAATGAACGGAAACTGATGATGACGGAAGGACGGAAGGACGGAATGACGGAATGACGGAATGACGGAACAGGGTAACACTATATGCCCCTGCCATTATATGGCGGGGGCATAAAAATGAATCCCTTAAGAACGTCCAAAACGGAAACATTAAAAATGTTGCAGGCTCAATTTGATGTAGCGTGTTCATGAATGGTACTTGAAAGTGCTAATGTCCACAGTAAAACTTTTTTACCAAACCTAGTATTATACTAAACTTGATCTTGGGTTTAATACATAAATACTTCACCTATCGAATTAATGGTTTTAACCAGGCAAGTAATGGTTTTAACCAGGCAAGTGTCCTATTTTTTGAACCCTATTACTCAAAAGTAACAGCAAACATCACATAGAAATTACATTTCAGAAGCATAATGCATGTTGTATGTGTCCAATACCGGTATTTAAGATATAATTACGAGTATTGTGTAAAATCTATGACTTCGACAAAATAACAGCCTTTTAAACATTCATATTAATATTATATCACTTAAGAGACAGAGTCGTATATAACATATTTCAACAGAGTACTTTAAAATCTGTAGAAATCAAAGTGCCTTCAAATCTACTCAAAACTCAAGACTCATTGTCTTCACACATACCTCTATTGTTATTTTCTCCCTATTATTTTCCAGGATCATTAGACCAAGCTCGCTTTTTGTTTCCTTGATGGCTCGCTTTAATATACAATTCCTGAGAAGAAATTCCAACTCGCAAACTTCACTCGTTTGTGTCCGATAACATTCAAAATTGTTCTCATGTACAAGGCACCAACGTTTTCCCCATTTACGCTTGTTGAAACTACTGTATACATCGACATAACCTAAAATGGATAAAGACTAATTATTGTTTTCCAAAAAAGGGTCTCTTTTCAATATATTGGTGACAAAACTTGATTGCTCATTATAAATGTATAGCAATACTAAAATACAAGAGTTTTTAAAAGTTTGGATTTTAAACTTCACATTTGGCTCTAAAAAAATGATTTTTTTTTTACTATATTCATGAGTTAGAAGCAAAAATTAAGACCACTTAAGTCAATAAGACAAATTTCCTTCGCTTGTAGAGTTGTCAACTCATGGAACCTGTTTCCCAGTGAAATAGTTTTATCCAAGAATGTGCATGAATTTAAGTCAAATTTTGATAAACACTGGCGGTGGAAAAAGATTCAAATTTGACCATATTTATTGAAAAAAACCCATATCGGAGCGGATGACAAGATAACAGAACTCGAAGGGACTTATAGTCCATAAGGGACTAATAAAGTTTCCCATACATCACAAGGTACAGGTATCACAAGGTATGATAAATATCATTTTACATAATTATATATATTAATGTAATGAATGAATAATATTAATAAAATTATCTAGCAACTATCCTATTCTTACCCTGATGTTTAATATGTTTTTTCATCTCCACAGGAGATTCAAAAACGGACTCTTCAATATGGGTTTCCGGGATGATTGTACTTGGTTTTTCTGCCACTTCACTCAGGGACGATTGAGAGCAAGATAACTGCCTCACCCTCTCAACAGATGGTGACCTTTCTGCACCAACACTGGAAGGTTTCCGGAAGGAGGACCTTTTACCGAGAGATTCAAAGAATTGAGTGGCCTTGAAAGCAAACGCTCCCATTTTGACTGTCTTCACTCCTGATGGGTCTGAAAAGGACAAAAAGTAACTTTTAAATACTATGCTCATCTTTAGGTAAAATCCTTTCATTGCAGAATTTATAAAAATTTAGAAAATTCTCACTAAATAGCTCTTATTTGATTAAGAGAATGCACAAATTATTTTTGGGAAGCTGCATTTCCTATTACTGGTCAAGTTTATTTGTTTTTTTAAAAAAATTTAAAACCGGGGTGTTTTACTAAAATTATTTACCTCTTTTTGGGAAAAATTGGTTTATTTTAAAAATTTTTTTTTAAAAATTAAAAAAGGAAAAAAAATTATCAAAAAAAATTTAAATGTTAGAAAAATGACTAGGATTTTGATTCAAAACATAATTAAGCTTCTTGACATGCGCTGCTGTATTTTAATGATACCTTACATATACATAGCTTTACTTAAAATTGCTGAATTCGTTTTGTGAACAGCCAAATATCTCTAGATCATTATTTTCATTATTTGGATTTACTTTTCCAGCACTTGCTTAATTGTGTAGCAAGTGTTCAGAACTGTCAGCTATCTGAGGTTCTAGGTCTTAATTGAGAGACGTCAATTAGCTTACAAAATGGACTTACTTTCAAAACTTTTTAAGAAATGAAACAAATTCATGTCGGAACTGTTATCATGAATTCATAATATACCTTTCTGTTTCACATAATATCCAATTTTGTCTGACCAAAAAAAAATGTTAAAAAACGAAAAGCACCTACCCTTCCTTTTCACTTTGACAGTTCCTGGTTCAACTTCAAAACCATCTGAACTTACAAGTGAGGCGTTAGAACTTGATAACTGAACATTACTCTGAAAAGTAATAACATAATTGGTGAATCTTTTAAATAAACTGGACCTGTATGTATCAAGACTTTTATCAATTCGTTTATAGGAAGGAATATCTATTTTTGTCTTTGAGGTTTATCGCCATGCCTGTCTGCAGAGATGACTTTGGCTATGACTATGACAGTAACATATTTCCTGGAAAAGCATGAGCATTCATACTTGGACATAACATTCCTCTGAATTAGAGCTTCATTTAAATGTACTAATACTTAAGTCATAAAATTTCTAAAACTTTCAAAATTCAAAACTTTCACGATCATTTTCATCATTTACAGGTCAAGAACATATTTTACTGACATACATGTGTATATTGCTACAACATACTTGTTCTTTACATTTCCTATTGGAACTAAAATGATGATCGTTTTCTTTTCCAGTTCTGTTCATAGCTATTGCATTTAATTTATCATCAGTTATCAAATTTATGACATCTAAAACAAGAAAAAGAAGGGTAACCAGTTGGTACTTTCGAACCAACATACTCTTCTAGTAGTCTCCCTTACAATTACAGTATAAATCAAACTTAAACTCTCACATTAGCTTCCTTTTGATTAGATAAATCAGTTCAGTCTGTCTTCACAATTGGAATTATATTTTAAAAAGTACACTCTAGTGACAGCTCGATCCTAAAAATATGAATAAATATAAACACTTAAACTAAGCTTAATAAGAAAAAAATTAAAACATAGTCTTTTCAGTTGAGTACCGATAAGTGATTCAAAACACTTACATTTGCCATATGATATGTCCCGTCTGGGTTTGCTATCATTGAATTTCGTGCAAGATGCATTACAGACCCCGCAGCCCTTTGACCTTTTGCTGCTGCATTATTATGCTGTAATAAAAGTAACTGGTATTGAATTACAATGTACTTACGACAGTTTCAATTTTAATACGTAATTTTTTGCATTTTGGTCTTCATACATTTAACTACTACCAGAATCTTTCAAAGTCATTAATTCACTTCATTGTCTTTACTTTCACATAGATTTACAAGGCTTTCTGGTAAAGTATCATTTATTTTTGAAAAATTAATATTTGCCATGCACTTAATCCAAGAATTGGTAATTGTGTAAGTATGCCCTATATTCTGACAGAACCTTAAAAATGCACTAGATTTTCTTTTCAGATTATGCAAAGTTGCTTAGATGAATAATGCTGACAAATTTTCTTATTGCTCTTTCAAAGATGTTATCCAATTATATTTTCATTAAAGAACGCCTACCTCACACCAAATAACTGCCCACTCTTTAAACTCCACAAGAAAAACATATGATTCAAAATTATCATGGTCCAAATGTATTTCAAAACTCCGCCTTCCTTCCCTTTTATGGAATGATGCTTTATAGCCAGTTAACAATATCACAAATGAAGGTCGAGAATCTGTTTTATCAACTTTGTAACAAACAAGTCTTCCATTGGTAAGTGCTACAATTTTTCGAGTCCACGTTAACTTGCTTCGGTAATGTAGCTCACCGGACATGACAACATCTTCGAGCATACCAAATGGCTGAGTTATCTCCCATAGCGACGAGAGGGATTTCCCAAGCTTCCTGTGGTGCGCTATATGCTTCCTTTTAACTGGTCTGAAACAAAAAAGTAATATATAATATTTGCTGAACGTTACAAATTATTATTCGTTTTGTTTGCGTTTTACTAAACTTGGTTGAAGTCAGGACATCCCTTTTGTAGTTGCTGAGGAATATCAAAATCTTGACAAATTCTTAGACATGCATAGTTTCTTTTAGATGGAACCAATTCATTATCCAATAGTGCAAAGAAATATTATTATAAAATTAACAAGGAGAGACTTTCACAGAATACAGACCCTAACATTAAGCTACACAATGCCACCAGAAAAAAAAACCCAGTCGGACATTGATCAAAACAAGGAAGTGCACAAAAGACATCCAGGCTGTGGTGAATAAGCCAAAATTGTAATTAACAAGCAAAACCATTTTATGTTGTATGCTTGGGCCCATCGATGATATGTGTTATTTTAAACCTGGGCCCTTTGATATGTGTTATTTTAAGCACTACTGGATGAGCCATAAACAAAGACAATGAGTTTTGGGATGTCTGGATACTTCAAATACACACCTCGGTAGTTTGTATTGCGTTGCATTCTGGAATCCTTGCCCCGGGAAGAGTACCAACAAACTTCATCCAGTGAGTCACATGATGCACCATCATATTCTTCTAAAAACAAAGAAATATAATAGTTTTACTGCAGATTCATGTATAACACATAATTAGAGCTGAAGCAAATTAATGTCCCATACTGTCATAGCTCTGAGCATACAGAGTTTGTTTACGGGCTTGCTCTTACCACTACCGTCCATCAACAGGTTTAATCAAACCAGGGATGTTAACCATATCCCTGATTTAAACGAACCAGCAATATTTTCAATTTTGTCATTTTTTGGCATTCTTTAATAAAACTTCAATGAATTCAAAAAGCCTAGAAACATAAAATTTGAATTTCTTACATAGATCAGCTTGGGCACTTAAAACAGACATGCAGATATGTAAAAGATATTCAAAAAATATACTAACATTAAATTGAAAATAGCTAGTATTTTGTCTTATTCTCAGCCGATTTAGTTTATTATTGATGAGTCATTTTTTCACAATTAGAGTAATTGTTCTGGAAAAACAAAGTGATTGAATGATCTGAAATTTTGTATACAAGTTATTGGTCTAGACCTACATTATACAAATGGAACATTAAGCTCCAAATATTTCCCTCTCATTTATAGCAGTTTTACTCAAACTTTTTTTAGGCATTTTCATATTTGTACTCCTCCTTTCGTACTTTTACTGTCAAAACATGTTGTTCAGTAATACACATAAAGCATTGTATCACAATAGTATTGTAACAACACAATGAACTAAGTTGAAAAGAAATAACCATGCATTTGAGTAACACTTACGCTTAAATCAAATTTGCTTTAGAGGTCGTCTAAATTCCTATGGCATGACTTATGCATCCGTGTCTAGATATTAAAATTCATTTTAAATATTTGGTGTTGATTTTATACTTTGATAAACACATGAAATGCAGTTTATTTATCATTCATATTCAGTGGAATGTCATAAACTACCTGAATTTATTAGAATAAAAATTGTTACACACCATTTAGCAGAAAATAGATTAAAAATTTGTTTCCCTTTTTTACTCACCTGTTACAAATTTGACAGGGGTGAGCCCTTTTGTGATCGCTTTTCGGTCCCGGCGTCCGTTCTCGTTTCCGTCCGCCACGTCCGTTGCGTCCGTCGTCCAATCGTCCGTTTAAACTTTTTACTTTAAATGACATTCCCAATAAACCACAAGGCCCAATTTCAATCCAAACTTCACAGGAATGTTCCTTTGGTGGTCACCTTTAAAAAATTGTTCAAAGAATTTAATTCCCATGCAGAAACTCTGGTTGCCATGGCAACCGAAAAAAAAACTTTAAATATCTTCTTTTTAAAAAACCATAAGAGCTAGAGCTTAGATATTTGGCATGAAACATCTTCTAGTTGAGTGTCTACCAAGTTTGTTCAAATAAAAGCCTGGGTCAAAATTGGCCCCGCCCGGGGGTCATTGATTTTCCCTATATGCATATAGTGAAAACTTAAAAAATCTTCTTTTAAAGAACTCAAAGAGCTATGGCTAAGATATTGAGGATCATCAAACATGTTCTAATAGGTGTCTATCAAGTTTGTTCAAAGAAAAAAGCCCTGGGTTCAAATTGGCCCCGCCCCAGGGGGTCATTGATTTTCTCTATATGCATATAGTAAAAAAACTTAAAAAAAATCTTCTTTTAAAGAACCAAAAGAGTTAGAGCTAAGATATTTAGCATGAAAAGCATGTTTCTAATAGGTGTCTACCAAGTTTGTTCAAATAAAAGCCCTGGGGTCAAAATTGACCCCGCCGGGGGGTCATGATTTTTTCCTATATATGCATATAGTAAAAACTTAAAAAATCTTCTTTTAAAGAACTCAAAGAGCTATGGTTAAGATATTTAGCATCAAACATGTTCTAATAGGTGTCTACCAAGTTTGTTCAAATAAAAAAGCCCTGGGGTCAAAAATTGGCCCCGCCCCGGGGGGTCATTGATTTTCCCTTAATAATGTGTATAGCAAAAACTTAAAAATCTTTTTTGAAAAAAACCCAATAGCTAGAGTTAAGATATTAAGCATGAAAACATCTTTTAGTGAGTGTCTACAAAGTTTGTTCAAATAAAAGACCTGGGGTCAAAAATTGGCCCCTGCCCCGGGGTCAATTGATTTTCCTTATATGTGTATAGGCAAAAAACTTAAAATCTTCTTTGAAAAAAACCCAAATAGCTAGAGTTTAGATATTAAGCATGAAATATATTCTAGTAAGTGTCTACAAAGTTTGTTCAAATAAAAACCCTGGGGGTCATAACTGGCCCGGCCCCCAGGCGTGGTCATTGTTTTTAACTATATGTGTATAGTAAAAACTTTAAAAAAATCTTTTTTTAAATAGCCCAATGAGCTAGAGCTTAGATGTTTAGCATGAAACATTTTCTTATGGGTGTCTACAAGTTTGTGCAAATAAAAGCCCTTTGGTTAAATTGGCCCTGCAATGTTTGGGGGGGGGGGGGGTTGGGGCGGCCTATATACAGGTGAGCGACCTCAGGGCCATCATGGCCCTCTTGTTTTGGTTTTCTTTTCTTCCTTTTCTTTGGTTTCGGTTTAACGTTGCACCAACACATTAAAGGTCATATGGCGACTTTCCAGCTTTACTGGTGAAGGAAGACCTCAAATGGCCTTCCATGCATTATTTCAGGCACAAACAGGCACCTGAATATAACCACTTATTTCTGGAAGCTAGCAGGATTGCTTTCTCACATGAAAGAATTGTATTGCATAAAAAATCAATTTCTAATAAATTCTGACTATATTTCTTCATTATCATTTACAAATGTTTTCATTTTTAAAGTGCTGTGCTTAATATTTTGTAAGATTTTCAAATTTTATTTTTTCAGCCTTGAATGGACATCAGGTGAGTACCTATAAGGTCAACACATGGATAAATGACAATTTTTTTGCTATGTATGAAAAGTCTGCCAAAGTTTTATGTCATATGTTTAGTAAACATTCAATTTTGTTTTCATGTTTACCCCTTCAAATAAAAATACCATACAAAGTATGACATTTCATATGTCTAAACAATGAGGCTAATAAACTGTTTTATTATAAAGAAGGAAGACATAAAATACACATCAATATGTGAACAAACTGTGAAGTCATCCCATGAAAATGTCAATCAGCGCCAGATTTATATTTTCATTGACACTATAACAAGTATAAACATTTTTTTCATCAACATTAAAGCAAATAATAAACATTCGCTTTATTCTTTGTTAACAATCTTTTATATATATCATAAATGTATTAATAAACAACATTCAATGCCAAAAGAGCAAGGCAATTAAGGAAAATGAAATTGTATTTCAATCAATGAGGCACTGGACTTAGTCTATCTAAGGATAGCTAACAGTTTGAGCTCAAATCCTATCAGAGGCAAGAGCAAGAAACTTAAAGATGACACTAAGTGCTTAGTATTGGTTGGTGCTAGGAATGGCATCCTCATCATGATCAACAACATCATAATTATCATCAACAACAACATCATCACCATCATCATCATTATAGCAATCATCATCATCAACATCATAGCCATTATTATCAACAACATCATCATTATCACCATCAACAACATAATTATTATCAACGATCATCATCATCCCCACCATCATCATCATTATCATCATCATCAACATCATCAATATTACCAAATTTGTATTATTATCTATTTCTAAATATTAAATTATAGGTGCCTCAAGTGTCTGACTCATTAAGAATATTGGAGCAATCTTGTAAAAGTATAAGAAAATTTAAACCTTGGTACAATCAAAAAATACTCATATACTTCTATAAAGCCTTCAAAATTAAACAAAAAATATCCTAACAAAATTCTTTCTGGTAACACATGTTACATTCTATAGAAAAATATCTTTTCTCACAATATTTAAGTAAAGCATAGATGAGTATTAAGAAATGAAGCCAATAATATCATAAATGGAGTAAAGGTTTTATACCAGGTGAAACATACTTTAAGTAATTCAAAAATTGTACAGTCACATTGCCTTGCTGATTTCTAAAAATTTAACCCATTAACCTCTGCATTCATGTAATAGATTTTACCTGTTTTGAAATTAGAACTTTTCATTGAAAGTTTAAGGGGTTTTAATAGTAAAGTGCAAAAATTGAGCTGCCAACAGATTAAAGCCTGGTCAGACTGCATGGAGGCAATTGCCTGGCTCTAATTTATATGAGACATCAATTCAATCAAGTTAAGAAAAGTGTCTGATTAATATATACAAATTACCTAAGAAAACAAAATAAAATGTTCCTTAACAAAATATTCAGTAGCTTTGGTATAAGAAGTTATATGTAAAGAAAAGAAGTTGAAACAATTTCAACTCTACTTTAATGAATTCATTTACAGTAAACAGAATTTAAAACTGTCAGAAAAATAAATTTTATTTCATCAAAACATTGACATTCGGAGAGATCTTTTGGGGTACTAATATATCATGGTAATATTATTGATCAACACAGTCATCTAAACTTAGAAAATACCTACCATCAAGAAAATCATCGCTGGACTTTTCACTTCTTGTATCAGCAGAGTTCTCAAGTCGAGCCGGTACTGATGACTCTCGGTTTAGCTTTGTACGGAAAACCGGTGTATCCGAAATTCGCTCTTCTAAAAGACTTCCGATAGAACTTCGACTTGCTGCATCTGACCCTGTCCTCTCCCCTCGGGGTGGTAATGGCGGCGGCATCGGAGGGCCTAACAAATATATTCAATTCGATTTAAAACACTCAGGACTGAGATATTTAAATTGAACCGCTAGCATATTTATATCCTTTCTATGTTACATGTATTCTATAAAGCAGGCCAGTTCACACATATTCTTCATAATTTTTTCGAAACATGCAAATAAGAAAAAAAAGTAGAATACCAATAATTGAATACTATAGTACACTCTTTATTATATTGTGTGTCTTCTTCTACATTTTACAACTTTAAATTTATATGGGTATGAACATGTTTATATGCATTTATCTAAAATATATAATATTATAATTACATAACATTAAAGGGACTCCAATATGATCCATACATAGGCCTTAAAACATAAAATTTGAAATTCTCACACATCATTTTTTTAACTCCGGGGTGCACTTCTAATAGAAAAACATATACACCAGACAAAGACCAAACTCATATACTCAAAATTGAACTCAAAATTAATTTTGTGTGCAATTCTTTCCCTGATTTGAGTTAAAAGCATTTAATTGCTTTTCAAATTTGGGTCATTTTGCACAATGAAAATTAATGTCCGTGAGCGAATAACTGAAACATTTGCACACAAGTTATTGGTCAAGATCTACATGATATGATCTTATACAAATCATGAAAAAGTTATTCTGGACCATTCATGTCAAAAATAACCCTAATGGAGTCCTTTTAACCCTTTTCCTGCTATATTTCTATAATGGATCTGTCCAGATTTGAATTAAAACCAGTCCATTCAAAGTTCAAGGGATTTCAATATCTGAATATAAAAATTGAGCTGCCAACAGTATAGAGCCTGGTCAGACTGCACGGATGCGCAGGCTGGCCTGGCTCTATGCTGGTGGCAAAGGCTAATCACTTGGTTCCAGCTGAGGTTAAGGGTTCATGACATGAGGACTCTATGACAATATCCAATTGATCAAAACTTATTTTTACCTGATTGTCCAGAAAGCTGCTCCTCAGAGCTTGTGGATTTCGATAAGGGAGACAACTCAAGTGCCTTTTCATACCCTGAGTCACTGAGAGTTCTCTGGAGTTGTGGGATCTCATACATGCTCTCCTCATCTTCAACTTTGGAGGGCTTGATCTCATCCAGGCTGTAAAGGGAGGTAATGAAAAGTTTATATTCAAGAGCTGTAAAGGGAGGTAATGAAAAAATTATTGTTTAAGAGCTGTAAAGGGAGGTAATGAAAAAATTATTTACAAAAGCTGTAAAGGGAGGTAATGTCAATTTACAAACATTAAAGCTGTCACATCCAACTGGTCACTCATTATATTTCAATGATAGGTACAAAAACTATATAATAAACTCTCAAAATATAAATGCAAGTAGAGCTAGCCAACAGTTATAGCTATACATGTGTCTAGTAAACATCATACATTCAAGAAATATGGCAGTTTCTTTTAAACCTATGAAGTTGTTTATATATTTTCAAACTGTCATTTAGTGATTATATGCAAATGGCCGATTATCATATGCTATAAGTAATTTATATCTAAAGGTGTGTATTGTTTCTTTCAATGACATTTTAATCAAATCTTCACCAAGCTAGGAACAAAAATTGATATATATATATAATTATATTCAATATCTAAACAAAACTTTATAATTGCGAAGTCCAATATCAATCAACTTGTTAATCAAAAACAAAAACCTAACATTAATTAAGCCAATGATAAAAAAAAAAGTATAGAATAATGAAAACTTAACATTTTGTTTGGGCAAAAAATTAAATAGCAAAAACTGAAAACTGCATTCTTAGAAGCTAATTGCAAATAGCTAGTGATGTAAATTAAAAAATTTGCATGGTCTAACCTGGGATAACCCTAACAGTATAATTTGAAAATCTGATTATGAGTAACTATTGAGGAAAACCTAACAATTTTCTTGGCCTAACATTAATTAACTATAAAACAGTGACATAACTCAGTACCATAAAAATTGCACAGTCAACCATGAATCACTACAGGTGTGTCCAGCATGAACTGATAATAGTAAACTCAATATCTGAACCAAAAAAAAACAGTAAATATAAACCTACAAATTTGCTTGGCCTAACACTAAAAACATGAAATAACAATGAATATAAACCTATCAATTTGTTTGGCCTAACTCAAAAAAACACAAAATAACAATGAATATCAACCAACCAATTTGCTTGGCCTAACACTAAAAACGAAAAATAACAATGAATATAAACCTACCAATTTGCTTGGCCTTACACTAAAAATACAAAATAAAAATGAATATAAACCAACAAATATGCTTGGCCTAACACTAAAAACACAAAATAACAATGAATATAAGCCTACCAATTTGCTTGGCCTAACACTAAAAATACAAAATAACAATGAATATAAACCAACAAATTTGCTTGGCCTAACACTAAAAATACAAAATAACAATGAATATAAACCTACCAATTTGCCTGGTCTAATACCAAAAACTTGAAATAACAATGAATATAAACCTACCAATTTACTTGGCCTAACACGAAAAATACAAAATAAAAATGAATATAAAACCAACAAATATGCTTGGCCTAACACTAAAAACACAAAATAACAATGAATATAAGCCTACCAATTTGCTTGGCCTAACACTAAAAATACAAAATAACAATGAATATAAACCAACAAATTTGCTTGGCCTAACACTAAAAATACAAAATAACAATGAATATTAACCAACAAATTTGCTTGGCCTAACACTAAAAATACAAAATAACAATGTATATAAACCAAACAATTTGCTCGGCCTTACAACAAAAACATGGAATAACAATAAATATAAACCAAACAATTTTCATGGCCTAACACCAAAAACAAACCTCAGATCAACAAACTTCACACAAAATATCAACTGTAACATTTTAAAATTTAAGATGAAGTTGGTTTATAGTAACAAAAATCAAATATTGAGGAAAATACAGCCTAACATTGAAATTAACTGACAAGGAAAACAGTAGGAAAACATTACAATTTTTAAACAACTCAAGAAACATTTAAAAAAGAAATTTAACCTAACAATTTCCTAGCCATCCTGACAAATTGCCAAACAACTCAGGAAATTATAATATAAGAAAACTGAACAATTTGCTTGGCCTTAACATGAAATAAATAAAACAAGTTATGAGAACCTTAGACTTACATTGGCTTGCCCTATACATATAATAGCAAAACATATAACTTAAGAACCTAATTTAGACTAGGCTTGGCCTAAAAGTGAAATTATGAAAACTACTTTTTTAATGAAAACATAATAAAAAGTTGCTTAGCTTATATAGCCCAGTGTATAAACAAAACTTATTTTACTTCCTGTGATCACAAGAGAGATACAAGATAAAATATAAAGGCTCATAATAAAGGTACAGTGATTCGAAGTAACAAGGAAATAACTTGCTTGTAATCCCAAGACAAATTATGCACAAATGTATTAACTCGCAAGACAGGGTACAGTTCAGTAATTTCCATTACCTACTGTGTACATTTAAGTACTTAGTATCAAAGTCATAACAAAAATCTTATTTGCATTTGTTTGGCCTAAATATGAAATAACCTAAAAACTGATAAATATTTTTGCTTGGCCTAATATGTATTTTACAGCTATTATATCAATGCAGTGAGATGGGCAATTTGTCATTTTCTCTCTCTGATGACATTTACCTATTATCTGTACTGTCAAATATAGGAAGCTGTTAATTACATTAAGATTGATAATGGTATCAAATTATGTCCCATATTGTACACCATAAATAATCTGCAGGTTTTTTTCCCCCTTTAAGATTAATGTAGGTTTTCGAGAGAGTTTTGGATGTAACCTCATTTTAAATCTTGATATTACATGTTTATTTTTTATATTATATTAACTTACATTATACACAGACAAACTAAGCTGTGGTATTTACTGCAAAACTTTTAACTTAGTCAGGTAGGAGTTCAACAGTTTGACCTCCCACAATAACATACTTTCATTTGTTTTTGTTGTTTTTTTGGGTTTTTTTGTGTTTTTTTTGTCCTTTCGCAGATATTAAATCTATAGAATAACAACTTTAAAAGATAAATAATTTCACATCCCTATGATATTAAGTGGCAAAGGCTAACCACTGTCAGTTTGGCTATGCTCATGACGAATTAGGGCCTGTTTGAGTATTGAAACTAAAAAATTAGGTGTAAAACTATTATGGTTTAAGAAGGTCGGTCTATACTTCAAAATGAAATGATTTGTAAAACATTAAAATTACCTGCCATCTGTGGTGTCAATATCATCATACACCTTAACCTCACTCTGAAATACACAAACAAAGTTATTTACAGGTTTTTATGCAATTGATTGGTGTGAAAAAATACTTATTTTACCTTTATTTAAAACAAGATCTTCAAACACCATTTTAGGCAGGCAATTATACCCCAGGATAAAAAAAAATGTCCTTGATCAAATTTTTTTTCTAATTAAAAAATAGTATTTCGATTCAGGCCTATAAAAAGCATTATTTTACTTTTTATCAATTCCAGAAGCAGGACATTAAAGAATTAGACAATATCAACAGCTAGGAAAAAAGGAGGTTTTCTTAAAACTTATTTGTCTAACAATGACTGCAACAATCTGCAACAATCTGTTACAATAATATCAGTCTGATGAAAGGTTAAGGTCATATGGGGACTATTCAGCTTTCTATGACGGAGGAAGACCTCAGGTGTCCTCAGTGCATTACTTCCGACACCGGGGCAGTGACGTGAGACCGTGGTGGTGGACCGTTGAGACCGGTGGGTGGTGGACCGTTGAGACCGGTGGGTGGTGGACCGGTCAGTGTAAAAAGCTCATCAGAGCTTATGTTTATTGTTGATGTATCCGACTTATAAATAAAATTTACTTGACTTGACTTGATTTGGTGAGTAGAGAAGGACCATAGATAATGTTAGTAAAACTTTTAATACAACCCTTTTGTATATACATTGTATTAATGCTTAAGATAATGCTGTAAAATTGTGTTAATTTATGGAAGATCACAAGTTTCCTCATCAATGCGAGGACGGGTGAGGGGGGGGGGGGGGCGGAGGAAGTAAATTAATATTATGTAATTGTGAATCAAGGAAACTAAAAACTAAAAAAAATCTAATGAAAGATGACTTTATCTGGGTAAAAGGTGATAAAATGATAAATAAAATGTATGGTCCTTGAAACTTCTCTGTATTTGATATCTTTAAAATATCAAACTATCTTAAAGGAAAAAAACTTAACAGATTTTTCATAACAATGTTTAAGGAAGCAAGGAAGATAAGTAATTTCTATTTGCTGCCAAACATTAATTTCACTTAAACCAATACTAGCGCACCCCCTCCCTACCTCTTTCATCTCCTACCCCAAGAATAAACACAAACTCACACCATAACCCCCATCAAGAAAACATATGTACCTATATATCAAATAACCATTATAAAATCTGTCTAGAGGATTACAAACAAAGCATGTAGGAGCATGTGGAAGTCACTTTGAACCTGCATTATAGGTTAAGTATGTTCTTGTAATAAAAATCTAATGAGCATGAAAGTAGATTTTAACAAGCCTCATCCGTTGAATACCTGGATCAAACTGTTCCTGCAGTCTGGGTGTATTAAATTAACTAAACTTCTAATATTGTGTAATAGCCTCTGTTTGACTTGAGATATTCTAACTTTAATCAAATATAACACAACTCTTCTAAGGTGGAAATTTAAAACAGCACTTTAACAGTCTCTGTTAAATCTGACGCCTAAAAATTGCAAAAAAAGCTTTTAATGTCTAAAAAAAAATGTTATTCTTTGAAATTAAGGGTGGAATGTGGCATATTGAAACTTGAGGGTAGAGGGTTGCAGATTGAAATTTGAGGGTGGTGGGTTGTAGATTGAAACTTGAGGGTGGAAGATGGCATATTGAAACTTGAGGGTGGAGGGTTGCAGGTTGATATTGGATGTTGGATTGCAGGTTGAGGAGTATGGAGAGTTACAGATTGAAACTCGATGGTTGAGGGTTGCAGATTGAAACTTCAGGGTTGAGACTTGTGTATATGGAGGGTTGCAGGTTGAAACTTGAGGGTTGCAGGTTAAAACTTTATGGTGGAGGGTTGCAGGTTGAAGCTTGCGACTGAAGAATTGCAGGTTGAGGCTTGAGGATTTCAGGTGGGGGTTGCAAGTTGAAGCTTAATGATTGAAGGTTGCATGTTAATGCTGGACGTTAAAATGTTGCAACTTGGGGTGGAGAATCACAGGTTGAAACTGGTGGCTGAAAAGTGGTTGCATATGAAGGTTGTGAGGTTAAAATTGGAGGGTGGAGAGTGGCAGGTTGAAGGTGTAACAAATAATCATTTCTCATTACAGTTTTGTAAGATAAATGATTACTTTTAATTTAATTCAGATATTATTTTACTCACTTCACAATTCAAATATCAATCTGCTTTCTTTAAAATAATTACCTTCTCCTTTCATAAAAGACTAATTTATTAGTTTTACATGTATTTACAGGGACACTTTATAATTATTATACCGTTTTGTAAAATATATTTTTATATTCATATTTTCTTATATTGAGGCTGGAGGGTTGCAGGTTGAAACTTGAGTGTGGAGAGGGTTGTGCATAGCATACTCACCATAAAGTTTTAAAAAGCTTGTTTACATCCTAAATAATGAGGCAATTGACTGACTGCATAATGCGCTTTGAAAAAAATGCTGATTATTTTGTCCAATGGTTTGGTGATTGTACATAACACATTAAAGAGGAAAGTTCTAAATGTGCACAGATTCCACTGATGACCTCAATTAAAATGGGACCAGGTGGGGTAACATGTATTATTGTGTTTATTGCATTTTTTTTTTCAATTTAAGCAGCTCTATAATGGGTATGACACTATTTTATTTGTACAATTTATGGGTCTTTTATCTGGGATTTTGTAAAGATGTATTCAATTTTTGAATTCAGAGTATGGCACATTGATTACAATGCTGGAATTGAAAAAAAAAAAATTTGAATCAATTATTCTTAATATTTACTTGAGTATGTGTGCATGCACTGTCTGGCCTAAAAAATTAAACCAGAATCGAAAACGAAACCGTTATGCAAATCCAGAGATTGATTCTTAAACTGTGTTTAAACATAGTCATAATAAACATTTTGCTGTTATGTAAACATTTCAAACAGGGGGAATCGAAATACAAGCTGGCCATGATGAAACAGTGGAGAAAACAAGAAAATCTTCAGCTACAGTGAATAAATATTTAAACATTAATTGGGTACTCTATTCCTTGCCATGAAAAAACTGTTTCCTATGTAAGAATTTTGTTTAATAATATCAGGTGATTTGGCAAACCAATAGGAATCTGAACGAAAACATACTCAATCTTCCCAAATCTTCAGAATTCCTTAAGGTCTTAAAAAAAAAATGGTGCAATAAGCCTTTTACGTTGTTTTTTTAAAATCATGTTGGGACAGTCTTTGAAGGTAGTTCAGTGACATGTTTATTCCAACATTATTGGCTGAGAAAAAAACAAAGTGTTTTATATGAACACTATTTGTAAAAGCAGGATAACTTCCTATCCATGGCAAAAAGTATCCCTAACTAAACAGATTCAAACCGGCAGCAGTAAACAGTCTGGCAGGCTGAGTATTTCCATGATGCTGACATACATGTATTTTACAAGAAACTTGTTTTTGTTTTGTTTTTGTTTTTTTCACTGTGAAGCTAAGGTCACATGTCATTAGAGGAATACGTTACCTTAGGTGTTCCTCTATTCAATATTGTAAACACAAGATGGCACTGGAGTAGAACTGTAATGCGCCTTTTTTTTGCTTGTGTGTTGCTTTTTTTGTTTTTTGTCGCTCCAACACGTTAGAGGTCATTATGACGATTTTCCAGCTTTTACTTGTGGAGGAAGAGTGCCTCTCCATGAATTATTTCAGACACAATTATGCACCTGAGTAGAACCAAAGGCATTCCACAGGCTAGCTGGATAGCTGCCTCACATGAAAGAATCCAAAGCTCATTGTGGGATTCAAACCTTTAATGTTGAAGGGCAAGTTATATTGAAGTCAACAACCTTAAACCACAAGCCAGGTATTCACTGCCCCTTATAAAAAGAAATTAATTCTAATCATAAAGTAGCTTCATGTACCCTTTGGTACTTGCATAATCAGTTCTGTATTAAGATAAACAAAATTATAAAACATTGAACAAAGTATATTACAGGGGCGTTCGTGGCAGTTGACTTCAAACCACTTGCCCCTCACTGCTGTGGGTTCAAATCCCAACAAGGACTTTGGATTCTTTCATGTGAGGAAACTATCCAGCTAGCTTACGGAATGTTGGTGGTTCTACTCAGGTGCCTGTTTGTGCCTGAAATAATGCATGGAAGGGCACCTGAGGTCTTCCTCCACCAGTAAAGCTGGAATGTTGCCATATGACCTATACTGTGTTGGTATGACGTTAAACCAAATCAAACAAACAAAGTGTATTACAAGAGCCGGTCAAACCATGTGATGCTCCCCGCTCCCCCAAATAGGTTTTGAACACAGAAAAGTATACCTCTTGTAGTTTCAGAGTTATGTCCTGAACAAAAATCAAAGTGTAAAAATGAACAAAGGGCAATAACTCCAAAATTTGGCAAGGCAGAGTTATAGTTCTTTTGCAATGCACTTCTACTAAATGAGATCTATCTACCTACCAAGTTTCTTGTGGATACCTCTTGTTGTTTACGAGCTAGGTCACGGACAAGAAAGGGGGTAGGACAGACAAAGCAGCAACTAAATGCTCTCCGTTTGGGGAGCATAAAAACTTAGCAGGCAACAGTCTGGATATGTCTTGAGCATTTCTTTAATAATGGATCAACAATTATGCTGACCTTGCTAATTAAAACCTAAGGTGCAAAATAATATGTACAGAGGACTGAATGATCTATTCTTACAAGAGCATTGCATGCGATGTTAATACATGAGAAAATAATATTTTCCAGTGTATAACGAGAAAAAGACCTACCACATCAGGTGATGTTGGGGTATCTCCTTGTAGGGCTCGTGAAAGTTCTCTCTGATACGCAGCGAAATCGTCTTGCTCCGAACTTGGTAAACTGCCATGATTAGACGATGGTGGCGAACTGTGTAACGGATATAGTCGTACACCTAATGCTGAAAATGTAACAAATATTTGTATCAATCTGATCATCAATCACTTAAGAGGCCATTAGTCAAACTAGTTATCTAATGATCACTAGCCGCATGTGTTCAAACCCCCTCAGGGGTAAGTCCTTGATTCTTTGAGCAAATTTAGACTTAACAGTCATTGCTCAATACTTGTTCATGTTCCAGGAACGTATTCGAAAGTGTGTCTATAAGCAATTATAGCTTCTTACGCAATGGAACTTCAATAAATTCTGTATAGACTTAGAGGCCACTTACAATAATCTTATCGCAATCCTCTTATTATAAGCCAGACCAACCTTTAATACTTTTGTGCATTCTTAACAAACCCTTAAGGTGAATAAAGTTATACATTGTATATCTGCTGCCTAAAATATTGTTTGAATATCCAAAAAGGAATATTTCCTGAAATAAATATAGAAGTAAATTGCCTTAAAAGTGAATGGCGCACGCACAAAATCATTGCTAAAATGGTTAAAACCAAACTCAAAATAGCAGAATAATAGTTTGTTCAGGAACGTTTTTTTCTGTTTATGTACAATATTCATGTGTGTTAAATAACAGAGACATTTTACGCGAACATTGATCAAAGAAGAAGCATTAATGCTATATTTCTTCATAAAAGCTTGTTTCGTTTTTGATTTTTCCTAAAGAAAAACCATTTTGTCATACTTTCTAGTGACTTATGTTATGTTTTGATAATGAAACTACCAGGGCAGTCATTTTGCAGCAAAGGGCCCTGAGACATGCATATTAAAAATACATGCAACAACAGCACATGCTCACGTGATTTTATCAATTATTGCAGCTCACGTGATTTTATCAATTATTGCATGTTTTCTTCTCTTAAATGTAAATAACCTGTGTGTGCAATTTTTATACAAGAATTTTTATTCAAATACAATCTTGATAAAAAAAACCTGAATTAAAAAGCCTTCAATAGGCCCATTTTCATTAACTTTCAAACAGAAAAAAATCTGCTAAATTGCTTTTTCTTTCCTTCAAAGATATAAAAGCAAATATTTCACAAAAGAAAAATAATATGTGAAGCATCTGTATTGTATACTATAAATTGCTCATTTTCCTATCATGCATTAATCCATTTTATTATTGAGTATTTTTTTCACCTTTATGATGGAATTATTTTATTTTTTTTACTTCATGTAAAATATACATTACAAAATACCTGGAAATCATACATGTACATTACAATATACAATATAAATAAATTCATGAAGTAAAAGCAGATGTAACCTCTAGATTTATGCAATTTTAACTTTATCGTATTTTTATTTGATTTTGATTACCAAAATTTTTAAACCAACAAAAACAAAATTCTAGTCAAAATTATTGAGTTAATAAATTAACCTAAAATTCACCAAAAAAAATTATTTTCCATCTTTTAAAGCAGCATGCCTCAGATTCATGCTAATTTTCATGAAAAAGAATTTAAATATTTTTTTGAATTCAAATATGGTGAAGTGAACAAAAAATTACTTGACACATTAAAACTGCAAATCTATGTAACCAAATGAAGTAAAAAGTATGCAAAAATAACCCTTTCTGCGTTTAAGTCATTGACAAGTAAAACTGTATAATAACTCATTAATTGCACATGAAATAAAAAAATGTCTTGAATCTTGAAATCTAAATAAATTTTTTAGAAGATTGAATTTCTTGAAATATTTAGGCTCATCTGGAGGCATGCAGTTTTAAAGGCACATGCTGCTTAAAATAGAAATACAAATTACTGTTACAGGTACATGTACATAATATTTACTGGTAAAGATTGAACAAATAAAACACCAACTCAAATCTCAACAAGCCCTTCTATAAAACCAAACAGGTTATGAGTCAAGTGATAAAAAAGTCTGCCAACCAGTCTCAGTTTGAAGCCAGTAACTTAACTTACATTACACCAGCACTGGTTGATTACAATTAAAGTATATTTTTAACCTAAATCACAGATGAAATATTTCAATAAAATTTGAAGAAAAAAAATCAAATAGTAAAATTATGTTGTTTTTATTACCTCATTTGAAAGATTTAAATTGTAATATAGAATGCAGTGAGGTGGTTTGGTTTTTATGTCACACCAACAGTGTAATTATCATAATCATTATGGAGACTTTCCAGATTTACTGGTGCCTAAGGTATCCCTCCATGCATTATTTCAGGCACAAATGGACACCTGAGTAGAACCACCAAAGCTAACTAGATAGTTTCTTCACATGAGAAAAAGTCTGACATCACTGGCGAGACTTTAAAAGTTTCAGGATTTAGGAGTTAGACTCAAGAGTGGTTTCTCAAGCTTACTATCATCAAATTTGACTCTCAAATTAGCTATATTCAAACTATTCCAATGTATTCCAATATATTCCAATATATATATATATATATATATATATTCCAATTTCAGACAAAAATTTGACATATTGACTTACAACGAGGTCGTGGGGGGATGGAGGGAGGCAGTTTAATGATGTCTAGTCTCTCTAAGAAGTATTGACGCTGTTCTTCGGCATATTCCGACAGTGTTTCATTAGCAAGAACGTTACTTAAATAGTCTTCTATACCAGGCAGCAAGTCTGTAAATAGAAAATACAACATTGTAATGATATCAAATCAATTTTCTACAGATTTATGTTATTATACCTTTGTATTTTACTTAAAAAATGCAAAAGATTCAATCTTACTAAATATGATAACTGAATCTCTGTTGATGATATAGAGGAAGATTTCACAGACTGGGACTTTTATGAGTTGATATACCAGACTAAAGTGAGGAAATCAGTGACACAGTCAACACAATAAATGTGGCATTACAGACTGTGACCAAAATTTTCCATGAATGAGCGTAAATGCATCTTCTTCTTGTGCTAGCAAGAAAGGCCAGTTGAATCAAAAAAGCAAAAACAAGCTGGTAATAAATTATACAAAGATCAGATTTATTTAACAGGAAATTAATCAGAGCTCACAATTAGGCAAACACAATGAACTGTACAGACTCGCAATAAATGATACACTGTGATTCCTTTGAAAAGTACATACATCAACAGTGAATCTACTAGTATGCGGTTTACAAGTAAATTTCTAATTTTTAAACAACCCACGTTGATAAGACTCAGTTCCCTTCAATTTGTAATATATTCTCAATGAAAGTTGTGCATGAAATTCAAATTACCATTGTACTTGTAACAAACAGTACTGAGTTGTAACTAAGTTGAAAATGTTTAAGGAGAATTCTCTTCATTTTTTTGGGACATGAAATTTTGAAACTTTGTCAAAGGGAACATTTTCCTAGGTTGATAGTCTACCAGACCAAAGCCAAGATCAACTCTCATTTGTGTGATTTAATCATGATCTGCACTGTTTGCCATCAAATCATGGTCTGCAATGTTTTTAATCAAATCATGATCTGGACTGTTTGCTATCAGATCATGGTAAGCACAGTTTGCTATTAAATCATGGTCTGCACAGTTTGCTATTAAATCATGATCTGTACTGTTTGCTATCAGATCATGATATGTACTGTTTGCTATCGAATCATAGTCTGCACTGTTTGCTTTCGAATCATGGTCTGCACTGTTTTGCTATCAAATAATGGCTTGCAATGTTTGCTACCAAATCATGGTCTGCACTAGTTGCTACCCCATCATGGTCTGCACTGATTGCCATCAAATCATAGTCTGCACTGATTGCCATCAAATCATAGTCTGCACTGATTGCCATCAAATCATGGTCTTCACTGTTTGCTATCAAACCATGGTCTTCACTGTTTGCTATCAAACCATGGTCTTCACTGTCTGCTATCAAATCATGGTCTGCACTGTCTGCTATCAAATCATGGTCTTCACTGTCTGCTATCAAACCATGGTCTTCACTGTCTGCTATCAAACCATGGTCTGCACTGTCTGCTATCAAATCATGGTCTGCACTGTTTGCTATCAAATCATGGTCTGCACTGTTTGCTATCAAATCATGGTCTGCACTGTTTGCTATCAAACCATGGTCTTCACTGTCTGCTATCAAATCATGGTCTGCACTGTCTGCTATCAAATCATGTTCTGCATGCACTGTCGAGTTTGCTATCCATTCAGTATTTTATTTTTACTTTTTTCCTAAATATGCCAAATGATTTTGTCCAGATTGAAAGATGGACAAGTCCATTTAAGTTATTTGGTGTGGTAATAAAGGTTTATATAATTACAACACTATCTTATCAGTACAGATTTAAAAATATGACCTTGTCAATTGACCAGTTACCTAAAATTATCAATTTTATCAGTCCATATATTGGGACATTGTCGCATAAAACCTGAGCCACTTGACAGTTTAACCACCATGGTAATCTCAATTTATAACTGGCCATGATAACTGACCAGGGGTAATAATGATATACCTAGACCTACCTGAAGTTCAAAGGCTATTTTTTAAAGATTCATTTATTTCATGAGAAAATAAATACAGAGTGACACATTTAGATGACCATGTTATTTCAGCTGTTTTTTATAATAAAAACAAATCAGCTTTTTGAATGCTTTTGAATGAAATTGATAATTTGATAAATTTGATATTTTAGTGTATCATAGTATAATTTGAATTAAGTAAATTTGAACAAATATTTTTCAATGTTGCTGTTCTTATGTCAAACTCATGTGCTTAAATGACAGATTTCCAACTTCCATATTATAATGAGCAGTTATCTAATATGCTTCTGGCCCAAAACTAAAGTATATCACAATATGCTGATGGCATCAAAATACTTTTTCAATTCCTCTGTAGCAAACGGCACAAAAAAATCGGGTTTTTTAATATATTTTTTTAATTTTAATATGTCTAATCAGGTCAATCATACAGGGAGTATATGAATACATGTATATTCTAAATAAAAATATCTGGGAAAAAAGTCATCCCTCGGAAGCATTAAAAGCAGCAAAATTGCATGAAAATTGCAGACAGTCAACAAAGTCATTGTTTAGCATCAGCTATAGTACTTTTACACCATTATGATATCTGATTATCATTTTACATAATATTCAAGTCGTATAAAAAAAAATTGTGATACTAGTTATAACACGCTGCTAATGGTGAATATAGAGGATATTTGTTTGTTTTGCATGTAAGATTGAAATATAATTTCACTGAGTGAACACCAGATGCAATATTTTCACGAGTGGCGTAGCCACGAGTGAAAATATAATAGCTGGTGTTCACGAATGAAATATATTTCAATCTTATATGTAAAACAAAAAAAATTTCTTTTTATTTCATGCTTTTTAAGTGATTTTAAGTATTATTTACTGATTTTGCCGCGTAACTCGCGCATTCTCCTTTGTGACGTCATCACATCATGACGTCACATCATCAATTTTGAAATATAGTTCTGTTAAATTTCTCTAATTTTGTTACATTTTTAACATGATGTGTGGTGACATCGACTTTCTTTTCATAAAGAAGCAAAATTTACGCATGACAGCGTTTATTTCTGCCTGTTATTCCATTTAGTTATGATTTTCTTTTCATCCGCATTTAGATATAGTCCGGCTACAGTGAAAATTATATTTTATAAATTTCACTAGTGGTTTATCAGAATATAATCATCTGATATATTACAATAAAACTCTGGAAAGCATGAAATAAAAGTCCCATCCTATTATTTACAATGTAAGATAGGTAACTTTTTTCAATTGGAAAGAGCAGTGATCGTAACTGTCAAAACAAAGGTCCACTAAACAAATCACTTATATCGCACATCAAACAGTACGCCAGTCATTTCCCTACCAACATAAACAAAAATATTGTGACAATATCCAGTGTTTTATTAAAAACGTTGGAGGTTTGAAAGTAGTTTATTGCCAAAGTTCACATATCATATGTTATTTATTGTTTACACCTGAGACACTACGAGTAATCAAGTGATCTTATTGTACAAACTACACCACAATTTGGACGTAATCTGAAACAATTTTGCCGGCTTTTTAAAAGACGTGATTGCACTATTAGGGAAATATTATGTTTATTTTATGTAAACTATTCTCTTTTTGTAGTCAAATTAGATCATTATAAAAGAATAAATCACTCAGAACAGATTTGATGTCAAATTCTACTCTTTATTTTCTTCTTTTTTTGTGGACATCATATAGTTTGAAACATTATGTATATATTTTAACTCTTACCACAGAAAATATCAGAAATGGACATGTCCATTTCTCAATCTATACAAAGCCATGTATTACTTTTAATCAAAATTTCAAAATGTATACTGACTGAATACCGAACAGTGCCGATCATGACTAAGACAGCACAGATCTAATGGTCTGAAAGTTGCTCGCATGGGTTGCGGTCTTAGCAGTTTAATGGTAAATAATCAAACTGGTTTGAATAGTTACTATTTTAGTTAATTGAGTTATTATTAATACAGTTAGTTTTTTTCTCAAACCCTTGTTATGATTCAGTTATATATTATCTCCATTAAAGCATTAATCTTTTTTAAGATTTATTGTGAAAGAATCACTGTCTCAAGTACACTGATTCTTGGCCTGAACTAGGGTATTTGTATCATAGGAGAAAACTTGGATCAGTTGACCCAATAAAACTTGACCCTTATTATACCTTCAGAACTGACACTTGTTCGACTTAAACAATATAAGTCATTTGAACACAATACGCCCATCATTAGAACACAATTCTGATATTATTCTGATATTATTTGAACAGAAGTCTTTGATCCTTTGAACACAGTAGTAAAAATCAAATTAACGACTGGAAACAAAAATTGAAACGATTGCCTTCTAACATATACAACAATAAAATAATAAAAATATTTGTCTCAATTTACCTATACAGTTTACTTAAAACATCTGTTTGTACAAAGAATCTTAATAGTTTAAACCATAGCTGCAGTATAAAATAGTTCAGACTAAACAATCAAAATAGTGCCCTCCCAAAGAAGATGTTTATTTTGGTTATATGAGCCGTGTCACTACAAAACCAACGTAATGCGTTTGCGACCAGCATGGATCCAGACCAGCCAGTAGTGCGCATCCGCCCAGTCTGATCAGGATCCATGCTGTTCGCTAACAAACCCTATAACAAGTAGAGAAACTGATAGCGAACAGCATGGATCCTGATCAGACTGCGGGGATGCGCAGGCTGGTCTGGATCCATGCTGGTCGCAAACGCATTATGTTGGTTTTGCTCATATAATAAACAACCCACTTTATAATAAAACATCTCCATCTCCCTTCTTAATAATTCCTCACTACAGATAACCATCTCATAACTATTTCCCAATTCGGGCCCATTCACATTGTCATGCAATTACACCAAAAAGTAAAATTAGTATAACGCATGAGTACAAAGGTACAAGAAAATCAACTGATTGAAGTTCTACTATACATTATACAATCATGTAATTATCAATTTTTAACATGTATCAAGTCCAAAACCAATGCAAAATTTACACAAATTTGAGCATTAACTGTATAATTGTATCAATATATGTACTGAATTGAAACATTGTGAAAGTGAAAACAAACTTCTCAACATTCAAAAAATGGTACATTTAGTGCTCTATTACCATTAAACCATAACTTTCTAAAATTGTGTTACCCATATGCCCTGCTCTGAATTTATATAAATACAATCATGTATAGGTATCATATGTAACACACATGCCCTGCTCTAAATTTAGAAAAGTCCATTTAAAAACATTTGTATAGTTATCAGGTGTAACTGACATTATAACCCTGCTCAAAATTTAGAAAAGTCCATTAGAAATATAGCTATCAGGTGTAACGGACATACCCTGCTCTAAATTTAGAAAAGTCCATATAAGTATAGGTTTCAGATGAAACGGACATGCCCTGCTCTAAATTTAGAATAGTCCATGTAAGTATAGGTATCAGGTGTAGCTGACATTATACAGTAAGCCTGCTCTAAACTTATAATAGTCCATATTAATATAGGTATCAGGTGTAACGGACATACCCTACTCTAAATTTAGGAAAGTCCATATAAGTATAGGTATCGGGTGTATTGGACATACCCTGCTCTAAATTTAGAATAATCCATAATGTAAGTACTGGTATCAGGACTGGTGTAACATACATGCCCTGCTCTAAATTTAGGAAAGTCCATTATAAGTATAGGTATCAGGTGTAATGGACAACCCTTGCTCTAAATTGAGAAAAGTCTATGTAAGTATAGGTATCAGGTGTAACGGACATACCCTGCTCTAAATTTAGAAAAAGTCCATATAAATATATATGTATCAGGTGTAACTGAAAAGGTTCATATAACTAGTTATCTAAAATATACTTGCAAAATACAATTCTAATCTATTCTGACTTTTAATCATAAGGTTGTGCAATTCTCACAAAGATTGTGCAAATGGAGAGAAAACTTCAACTAAAGATAAGCTTTTCAATCATACACTGCAGGAGCTTGGAGAACATAATATAACATTATGTCATGCATTCAAGTGATTCTAAAATTATACAAACAAACAGTAAAGATTGAGTTTTTGTGAAATTTGGGTGGTGCTGTAGGAAAAGAACATGGTTGTGTTTCATAATGTTTTAAAGAAGTTTTGTAAATTTTCCTCAAGTATGAGGGTATATAAAATGATAAAAGAATAAAGATTAACAATTTTCATGCCAAGACAAAAAAACTGTACAAGTTATTATTACCATTAGGAAGTCCTGATCCTACAGATATTCCATATTTTGTAAAGTCAATATTATGTCCACAATGAAGATTCCCATTATCTATTGATTTACTTCGTTTTCTACACATATTAATTTCTTCATACTTTCTAGGTTTTCTTAATTTTCTAGTTCGTTTGCTCCTTTCTTTTTGTTTCTTATCCAGTTCATCACATGACTCTAGAATGGTTTTAACTTCTTCATCATCCATGGAAGAGTCAGTTGCAGCCATCGTGATTGTTATATCTATATCAACTTCAGATGCATTCCGCTTTACACTAGAAGTAGTACCAACTTCACTAAGTTCACCAGCAACTTCCCCTTTGGAACCATTATTAAATTCTATGCTCCTATTGCCCTTCTTTGCAAATTCTCTTTCTGTAACATCTACTTTGTCATCAATTTCTCTTACCTCATGCACAGCATCTTTAACAAGAGAAGCATTGTCACCAACTTCTACATTAACTTCCTTTCCCATTTCTAAACATTCCTTTTCTTCATATGTTTCTTGTAATATGTCATCCAGTTCTTCATATTCACTCTTCTTTTTAAACAGTTCTGATATACACTCATTGATGTCTTTCTTTCCTTTAGCTTTGTCAGTTTCATTCATCTTAACAATGTTATCAAATCCATCATGTTCAATACCCAAAAATGGCAGTTATAAACTCAGCTTAAAGTCATGAGATAGAAATGATAAGCCTTTGCCACCACCAGTGCAGTTTCAGCTGGTTGCATGTTCGACCTAGCTCTAAACCGATGGCTGCCCAGGGGTTTGGTTGCAAGTCCGACCTGGCTCTAAACTGCTGGTTGCCTGTTGGACCCAGCTCTGTACTGATGACTGCCTATCATTAAATTTTCATCTTTTATCTTCAAAATTGATAGTGATCAGGTCCAAAAATTGAAACTGGACAATTCCAGTTAAGAACTTCAGCAGGTTAAGGGTTAAATACTGTTCACTCATCGCATATGACCAGGTTTAATTAAGCAAATTTAAGAATATCCTGGTGTTTGTATGTGATATTCTCCCTTTTAATCCTTTTAGTAATTTAGATGTGCAGCATTGTTAACGGCAAGTTACAGGCATTGTACCACAGACATTTATGCTTAAGTTTCTAAGCTTCTTATATGGCCATACCACTTGATTTATAACCATAAAATTTCAAGTTTAAGAATTATTTTTTAAGAATAAAAAGTCAAAAACTCAGTTTTTATTAAATTAAATAAAATTTAATTAATATCACATTTTTTATTATGCATGAATTTTACTTTTCATCGATTTAAATCCAAATTTTATTTTCTAAATTAATGTTTCCAAGCTATAATCAGAAAATTCAATTCTCAATCAATCATTTTTCACTTTAAACCAAACAAAAAAAAATCATTATTATTTCTTTGAATACACTATTTATCCAAACAACAACTGAACCACTTAGTTTTAAAATCCTGCAAATTTCTATTAAAACTTTCACTCTCCAAAACGTGTCTTAAATTCAAGAGTTTAACACTTTTGAAAAATGCATTTCTTAGAGATAGTGTGCCGCCTCTTTTTCCTTCATTTTTTCCCAGGTAAACTTAATCATCATGCTGAAATATACTGCATAACAAAACTTTGTAACAACTGACTTACACTACATACAAAAGGTATGCTAAGCTTCCAACCTGCACTACAGAACAAAGCAACATAACATACAATAATCCACTGCAATACTTCATTGTAACATCTACTTTAACTCCACAGAGGTTAAAAAACCTAAAGACATGAAATATAAATTTCAACGCTTTTCAATTTTGGGTTGTTTTACACAAATAGAATAGTTATTCTAGAAAATGGAATGAGCAAATGGCCTGAAATTTTGCACACAAGATTTTGGTCTAGACCTACTAATCTCGAAAAATTATTTCCAAGCCTGATATGTCATAAAACCTCAGTGGAGTCCCTTTAAACTAAATAAGAAAATTTTGTAACCTCTCATTTAAATATTGGAACAGATACCCAGTAGTAGGCATTTTACTTCATAAAATCTGTTTTACTAACCTCAAAACACCAGAACAGTTAAAATTACCTTTCTGGACCCAGAAGTGAATAGCATTATTTGTCACCAGTATAGGACCAGGCCAGCCTGAAGACCCTTGAACTTTGACCAGGTTCAATACCGTCTGCTGACTAACTTTAATTTCTATCTGGATATCCCCCAAATTTATAATGGACAGTTCCAAAAATAGAAGTTAGACAAATCCATTTAAGAAATTCAGGAGGTTAAGGGATGATAATTCATGTCAAAACATTGCAGCATTTGGAAAAGCATTACCTAATGCAATTACACAAGAAAAGAGGGACACAAAGTTAGGAAGCAAATGACCAGATGAAAGTAACAATTCTTTTTATGAGAAGTATACTCCTGGCAGAACTCTCTATAGATAGAGAGGACAGCCAGATGGTTCATCAGCATTACTGCACACACCATTTAATTTTCTGGTGTTAACAACATAAACAGTAAAACTAACATATGGACAAACAATGCAATAACAATTAAAAGCACACTAAATTTGTTACTAGTTGATAGATATAATACAGCGGAAAAAACAAGAGCTGTCCGTAAGACAGCGCGCTCGACTTTTTTATTGCTTGCCAATAAAAAAAGTTTTTGCAGTAAAAGGCAATACAAGAATCTCTGTATTTTTAAAGTGAACAATGGCCATGAGCATTAAGATATTTAGTGAAGAATTAAAAACTAAAAACTTAACCAAGATTCTAAGTCGATAAAAGGCCTTAATTTTTAAAACAAATCCTTGACAGAGTTACCTTCTCTTGCGTACAGATGGGGGTAATGATGTGAAATAGCATTAAAAGTTTCAAAGCAATATCTCAAAGGGTTAAGGCAATAAGTGGATTTTACCCATATTCAATGTATTTTCTAAGTCAAAAAGGGGCATAATTCTGTCAAAAACCTTGACAGAGTTATGTCCTCTTGTCTGTTGATGAAGGTCGTGATGGTAAACAAGTATGGTCAGTTTCAAAGCAATACCTCCAATGGTTTTGAAATAAAGTGAGGTGGTACAAAAAACTTAACCAAGCTCAATACACTTTCTAAGTCAAAAAAGGGCCATAATTCTGTCAAAAACCTTGACAGAGTTATGTACTCTTGTCTGTAGATGGAGGTTATGATGGTGAACAAGTATGGTAAGTTTCAAAGCCATACTTGTAATACTTCTGAAATAAAGTGGGGTGGTACGAAAAACTTAACCAAGGTGTGACGCCAACGCCGACGCCGGGGCGAGTAGGATAGCTCCCCTTTTCATAGAAAAGTCGAGCTAAAAACTAGCTGAAGAAAATTAATTATACTTTTAAAGTTGTGCTTTAAATTCAAGAAACCTTAAAATCAACACATGTAGCTTCCAAAGGTGTCCTTTTATTTATTTAGCTTTGCTAATTCTTAAAACTATAGATTTAGAAAAATCACATTCTTATTACTATAGATTTAAAAAACCCACATATTTATAACTAAAGATTTAGAAAAACTTATAACTATAGATTTAAAAAATCACATATAGTATAACAAAAGATTTAGAAAATCACACACTTATAACTATAGATTAAGAAAATCACACACTTATAACTATAGATTTAGAAAACCACACACTTTAAACTATAGATTTAGAAATCACATACTTATAACTATAGATTTAGAAATTAAATCACATACTTATAACTATAGATTTAAATAAAAAAGTCACATACTTGTAACTAAAAATTTGGAAAATCACATACTTATAACTATAGATTTAAATAAAAAAGTCACATACTTGTATCTAAAAATTTAGAAAAATCACACACTTATAACTATAGATTTGAAAAATCACACACTTATAACTATAGATGAAAAAAATCACATATATAACTATTGCTTTAGAAAATCACACACTTATAACTATAGATTTAGAAAATCACACACTTATAACTATAGATTTAGAAAATCACACACTTATAACTATTGCTTTAGAAAATCACACACTTATAACTATAGATTTAGAAAATCACACACTTATAACTATAGATTTAGAAAATCACACACTTATAACTATAGATTTAGAAAATTGCATACTTATAACTATAGATTTAGAAAATCACACACTTATAACAATAGATGAAAAAAAATCACACACTTATAACTATAGATTTAGAAAATCACACACTTATAACTATAGATTTAGAAAATCACACACTTATAACTATAGATTTAGAAAATTGCATACTTATAACTATAGATTTAGAAAACCAAAGATATAAATCTATTTTATTTCAATTTATCACATAACCCCCCACAGCGCAGGAGTACTGTAATAAAGCCATTTAAAAAAAATGATATTACACTAGACAATATTACACTAGTGTAATTTTACACTTTTATCAATACTTAATTTATTGAACTCATTGAATAAAACAATATAACGCTCGCCAGAGGCTCGCATAATATGATTTTATTCAACTCATTCAATATATTTAGTATTAAACCTACACTCATTCAATATCCTCAATTTATTTCAGTTGGATCATCAAATGAGTTAACAACCATGAGCTGATCTTGTAAATATCCTTTCATTTCTGCATATCATGATCTTCTATGAAATTTATTGTCATTAGCTAAAACTCTTAGCCTGCATTACAGGTAGCAAAGATTCTTAGACGCAGACCAAGTTCAGCATCTCATTGTCTGCACTGTAAACTAAAATGCAATGTTCCCTAAATCAAGCCAGTACCATTATTTTGTATTTTCCCCTAAATACATGTATGATGAATGGTTTTCTCAAGATTGAAAGATTGGACCAGTCCATTTAAAAAAATTAATGTGGTATTTAAGGAATTTTATGATTAATCTCACCCGAGTCCTATTTTTACTGAAATGGATTGAATTTATTGTTTCCTCCTTTTCTTTGAAATTATTTTTATTAAATTTCAACTCTCTTAAACCATTATCCTGCTAAATATCTTAAATGTTCTAGCTTGCCCCTCTTTCAATTTAGCCAAGATCATTCATTTCTTGTTGTAGGAAAAATTTTAATTATTTATTTAAGCTAAATAGTCACTGGACAGTGCAGACCATGATCAGATGGTTATAAAGATGTGAAGAATGATCTTCAGGTCTGCACTGGTTGTGATGGTCGAATCAGCTAACTAGCCTTATAAATTCGGTGTGAATGGTTTGACCCATTTTACAGACTTTTTATATCATACTGAAAAATTTAGACATCTTTCATCCAGAATTATAATCTCAATGTCTCTTTGATAATTCCGGAACTCGGAACTCGGCAAATGTGGGTTTTCCCCTAAGCTACAATTAATCCCTGTACAAACAAACTTTAACCAAAGCTTCACGGTGCACAACCCGTCACAATAGATAAGTCAACCTGTTGCGCTTATTTTGGAAGCTATAACTGTAAAAGTGTGTTTGTTTTAATCTACAGATTTAAGCTGGGAAAAACCCCAAATATTATGGAGTAAGTTGGCTTTAAAGCTAAGAATTATAGCAGTTTCATAAAGGTATTTAAACTTAATACAATCTACCAAAAAAAGTGTTGAAAATGCAATATTTTTGTAAGAATTTAATCACACCACATTTTATACCATTATACCTTTTATAATACCATAAATTATACCATTAACTATATTAATTATACCATTAAGATACTTC